CGGTTACAGACCCTTGGGAGGATGTGGCCTGGTCTTGGTGCCCTGTTGCTCTCAGCTGTGTGCCTGCAGGGAGAGGAGAGTTTCTTTGGTGTGTGTTAAGGCGTCGATGTGACTTTTGTGTGTGAGGGCTTCCCTCAGCGCGAAAACTTTTGTCTTCTAGGTGACAGGAAAAGGAGAGTTTGTTCTGTTCAGTGTTTTGGAACCTATTTAAATTTAAATGAAAATTGAATGTGACCAGAGGGAGCTTTAAAACAATTTGGACAGTTAAAATCATATTTTTATTTTGTAGTTTTGTATTTTTTTGCAGCTGTGATTCTTGAGAGAGAGTTGATACACAAGACCTTTTGCTTGAATCCTATGACATCTTAAAAAGAAATGTGCCTTAAGGCAAGGCACCACGGTACAGTGGCTTTACCTTTAATTTGCTTAAGGTAATAAGAGTTTAGGTCAGCCTGGTTAAATAAAACGTGTATGTTAATTGGTTTATATTTTGCTGACATTTTCTGTGTAAGATCACAACTGGAGAACTAAAGCAAAATTGTTTTAGCATCTAATGGATTAGAGTTAATAATGACAAAAGGTTGCCAGACAAAAGAATGGAAATGCACTTCCCTCCCACCCCCGGTTGGTTCTTTTTGGCAGCCTTACAAGGTTCAATGGTACTGAGCAGGCACAGGCTGACTGTAAGAAACAAGTGGCTTTACCATCATGGACACTACCTCCTAGAAATATGGGACTCTCACATACTTTGGCCTTTGTCTGGTTGCCCCAGAGAGGGAAGGAATGCCACTACCATCAATTCCAGTGGCTTCCACTAAGCCCTACGTGTTTAAGGAGAGACTTAGGGTCCTCTTGGTTCCTCTTCCTTGATGTCTGTCCTTTCCTCAGTCATTTCTTTTCCTTTCTCCCTGTGATACACCAGAAGTCGCCTGCTGTCTCTCAGCAAGCAGCATCTTTTGCAGCACTGGCACCAGAATGCAGCTGAAAGCGCTCTGAGCAGTCCAGGTTGGCCATGTTGCACGGTAGCAGGTGGGAGAATATGGTCTGTACTTCAGCATCAGCAAAGCCTCAGTAGGCTTTGTTTTCTTTAACTGGTGATCTTTCTAATTATGTGTTTGTCTCTCTTTCTCTCACTCCCCCTTATGGAAAACAGGATTTGAGTTCTGCGACTGCTTGACTAATTATTTTTTCTTCTCTCCATCAATTCCAGCCAAAACACCATGCATGATTTTTTTTTTAATTTTATTTTAAATGTTTATTCCTTTTTTCCCAGTTTTTGAAATTTAACATTGTAATTTAAGAGTGAATTTTATCTTTAATGAAGCACAGTGGTTTTCATGTATAACATTAATATAATACATTAAATACATGTGTAGTTTTGAGCAACACTTAAGCCTACTTGAAGTGGTGGCAATTGCTGGAAAGGTAACAGGACCAAGGCGGCAGCTGAGGGATTTTTTGGTAACCAGTTATTTCAATGAAATTGAAGTAACAGCACAGTCTAAATAAATTTTTTGATGTAACCTGTAAGAGTCTCATTTCCCCAAAATATACCTACGTAACTTAAAATACATTGAAATATCTCTTGAATGTAGTCCTGTCTGAATTGTGAATCTAAATCACTACTATCTCATTTAAAATTGACATGTTTTGTTGGACCAGGTAACATGCAATGAGGAGTTGGTAAAGTCATTCTGCCTGAAGTTTAGAACCATGTCCTAGAAAGGACTCCTCATTATGGAACTTTGGATGACAATAGCAGTTGTTAAAATGGGTGGTTTCTTTGTTGTGGGGTACCTGAACGCTTTCTATCAAAGTGTCTATGAGTGCTAGTAGAGGTGCTTGTATCCTTGGCCAGTCATCATATCGGTCACTTGTTGAAATTAACATTGCCCCAGATCAGAGAGTGTGGTCCAATTTGGGTTCTGGATTAAAGACAGTAGAGAGTTGACATGGATTAGAGGCTTAAAGGAATCAGAGGCATACATGACCTGTACTAGAGGTCCAAGGAGCACAAAGCTCCCAGTGGAAGACAGTGGACATGGTTCATGGTTCTGTTAGAGGAAATTGCAGGAACCATCATTTCAGCTCTTCAGGAGTAGTTCCTGCAAGTGCATTGTGGACATCCTACAAAAATTGTGTGACACTGGACTTTTATTTTCCTTATTAAGGGTGAGCCATGTCTTTCCATTCCGGGAGAGGATGTCCCCGCGGTCAGGGGGGACCAGGAACAAGAACTTCAACACAGGCCTACCGCCCTCAGAACCTAAGGCAGCTTCACCCACAACAGCCCTCCGTACAATACCAGTATGACCAGCAAACTGCCCCTCCAACAACCTATTCAAACCCTCCAGCCACTGGTTACATGCCTCCCAGGCCAGACTTTGTGCCCTATCCTCCTCCAGTGCCCCCTTCCACACAGAATCCCATCAGCCAGTGTCCCATGAGGCCACCATTTCCAAACCACCAGATGAGGCAGAGCTTCCCAGTGCCTCCGTGCTTCCCTCCTGCTCCTCCACCAGTGCCAAATCCTAGCAACACTCCTGTGCCAGGAACTCCTGCTGGGCAAAGCACCTTTCCTTACATGATGCCTCCTCCCGCAGTACCTCATCCTCCCCCGCCACCAGTCATGCCACAGCAGGTCAGTTACCAGCCTGTGTACTCCGCAGGGTATTCACAGCAATCGTTCCCACCACCTAACTTCAATAGCTACCAGCACAACCCTGGCTCCTTTCAGAGCAGCACTACCAATACCAGTGGCAGCAGTGGACATTTTCGACACACAGGTCAGTACCAGGGAGAGAAGTTGCAAAGTGATCGACGGTCTCCAGAGAGGAGTAAGCACTATGATGAGCACCGACATCGTGAACACAGTCACATCCATGGTGACAGGCATCGGTCCACTAATCATGGGGATCGTCGGGATCGAGGCCGGAGTCCAGATAGGAGGAGGCAGGAAAGCAGTCGGCACCGGACAGATTATGACAGAGGGAGGATATCGCCTCATCACAGAAGTTATGAGCGTAACAGGTAACTTGAGGTATCCTCTGCTTGCAGAGGGAGAGTTGTTATCATGGTGTCATCGTATTTGTTTGCATCAGTGTTCTTCCTTCGCCCTTGTTTTTCCCTCTAGCTCGAGAGGTAGCCAGTACTCGGGTCTGATGGAAAGAGCAACCTTTATATTTTTCAGGTACACTGCTTCTGCCTCACCTTTGCAAGCTTGGCAGACTTGCCCTTGTCCATGGAGATAGCTGGAAGCAAAGAAATGTCCGTTTGAAAACTGAGTGCATTGCGGAGTAGCGCTCTACTCTCATGGGTATTTACCATAGAAACTTATGCACATGTGGTGTGAGAGTAGAGTTGGCACAACTTTGTGGAAAACACTGCGTTCAAAGTTGTGCCTTACAAACTGTTTAAGTCTCAGCAGTTCAAGATTTAGCTACCAGAGTTAGGGTTCCAGGTGTTACTTGAATTTGGTCTTTCGAATTTGGTCTTTCTTTGAGTAAGCCCTGTATTTGTAGAGAGAATCAGCACTTGGAGGGGTTTATAGTCCGGTAGTTGCATGTATGTAATTCCTGCAGTGAGGTATTTTAGTGAAAAGCATGTTGTGCTGTGTTTTTCATCCTGCTCTGTTGTCATCCTTGTGGGACACCAGTGCAGATGTCCGCAGGCTTCATGAGACCTCCCAGTGGGTGCTTAGACTTGCCTGTGTGATTCTGTTCAGGATGAAGACTTCAGCAAGCCAGCCTGTGATCTCAAGAGAAGACTGAGGTGAAAATTAGCATACACCATTTAAAAGAAATAGGCAAGTTGTAGGCTATGTTGACATCTTATGATTCATATAGATGAGTGTGGACTGCTTATTTTGGGACGTATCATGAAGTTTCTGGCCCTCTCCTTCACAGACGCAAGCAGCTTGCAAATTATGAGCCGACCTGATGCAGTTTTCTGGGTGGTGGTTTAGAGCAAACCATCACCAGTTAAATCTTTCAGGTGTCTTAGATTTGCTCTCTTGGTGGCTCTTTTTGTGTCTAATGATCTAGGTCAGAATATTCAAAGAGAGATACTGGAACGTTAAGTATCTGAATATTGATCAGGGCACCTGGATCACGTTCTCTAATTTTAGATGCTCTGAGCTTTCTCACATCATGTGTGAAACATGAATTTACACATAGTACCTGTGGAAATTAAACCACTTTGATTTAGATAAGCAGAGATGTAATTGCACAACCTTAGACAGCTGTATTAAAAAAAAAACCCACCCCCAAACCTCACATTCAGGAAGTTTACTTTGATTTCCAAAAGAGGATTTTCCTAAAACTGAATGCAACTGGCCTTTTCTATGTGATGGGCTTGTGGAATTTTCTGCCCTTTGTAGGTGACTGAAATATTTGCCAGAATTTCATGATTTATTGTATATATTTTAAAGTTCAGTTTTAAGTTTTGAAAATGCATGTTTTCAGCAGCTTCTTTGTCAAACACTTGTGGACTACTGCTTGAGGCCAACAGCTTCCAGGTCTACTTGACAGTGTATCTGCTTATTTTAATGAGAACTGTTTGCTGGCCGTGGTGTGTTTTTTGCACAGCGTTAATCTCTCAAGTAAATCATGTCGTAGAATATGCTCTTTCTGAAGACTGAAATCCAATCCAATCTGCTTGAACAAGGCGTAGGCAGAGAAGGGTGAATGGGTGTGGGGAAGAACAGTAGATAATTTATATGAACTTCATGCTTTGTAAATTTGCATTCTATTTCATGTTGTGCGTATCAAAACATACATATATATGCTCATAAATAGTCTTGACTCATTCTGTTAGCCCATCAAACCACCTGAGGCACGTATTTATAATGCCTTGTCTATCAGCAGACTCATTTGCTAGGAGATTTGACAGATACACAAATGGTTGTAGACTAATGAGTTGTCAGCTGTTAGCAGAGTATGAAAGCCGTGTGTGTGATCTTTTCTGCCTTGTGTACACAGTAATTCATAGAATCATTTAGGTTGGAAAAGACCCTTAAGACAAGTCCAAGTGTAATTCTGACATGGCCAAGTGTCACTAAATGCCATGTCTACATGTATTTTAAGTACCTCCAGGTATGGTGACTCAAACACTTCCCTGGACAGCCTGTTCCAGTGCTTGATAACCCTTTCAGTGAATAAATTTTTCCTAATATCCAATCTAAACCTCCTCTGGTGCAACTTGAGGCCGTTTCCTCTCATCTTGTTACTTTGGAGAAGAGACCAACACCCACATTGCCACAGCCTCCTCTCAGGTAGTTGTAGAGATCAGTAAGGTCTCCCCTCAGCCTCTTTTTCTCCAGATTAAACAACGCCAGTTCCCTCAGCTGCTCTTCATAAGACTTGTGCTCCAGACCCTTCACCAGCTTTGTTGCCCTTCCTTGGAGGTGCTCCAGCACCTCAGTGTCTTTCTTGTGGTGAGGGGTCCAAACCTGAACGCAGTATTTGAGGTGATGCCTCACCAGTGCCAAGTACAGAGGGATGATCGCTTCCCTCTTCCTGCTGGCCACACTATTTCTGATGCAGGCCAGGATGCTATTTGCCTTCTTGGCCACCTGGGCATGCTGCTGGCTCATACTCAGCTGGCTGTCAGTGAACACCCCCAGGTCCTTTTCCCCAAGACTTCTGGTAATTTAAAGCTCTTTTGCCACAGAATTACATTTGGGTGGTCAAGTTCTTTATGCAAGCTGAGTCTTGTAGATGAGGTTCATAGTTTCAGCGTGATGCAGTTTTTCTGTGTTAATCAGTTTTTTGTATGTGCTTGAGGTAGTTGTCAGAAAGTGAGGGCTTGCCTGAAACACTTAAATGACTGCTGTGCTTGCAAAGCTATTGTGCATGGAATAGGTTTTCTTTCCCTTTCTTGAAGCATGAAGAATGGTTAAAGGTACAATAATCTTATCCTTTGCCATTCGTAACAGAAGAGGAAGAAAGGTAGCAAGTCATGTGGTGAACTTACAGAAGTTACCTCTGGATGGTCTGAATTAACTGTTGTATTGAGATAGATGGCTCTATGACAAAGATGGAGTAGATGGGTCACTGCCTCATACGAGTTTATTACATGTCAGCATTAAGAATGTCTGGGGATTTAGCAGTCAGCATGTGTGTGTCATTTTGTGTAACATGATCTCAGCCTGCTTCTGTGCTCCTTTAAGGTGTGGAATGTATGAAATGCCAGATTTCTCATTTAACTTATGTTTTGAACTCTCCAAGGGAGCGGGAGAGGGAGAGGCATAGGCATCGTGATAGCAGAAGATCACCGTCACCAGACAGATCCTACAAAAAAGATTACAAGAGAGCAGGAAGGTAAGGTCCTAAAGACTTCTGCTTACATTTGCTTCCAGTCTGTAAAGTACCAAGATTATTTAGAGTCATTCTATGTTTAGGTCATCTTTTAGGGGCCTTTTTTGTATTGATACCGATAAAAATTCTTCTGAATTCTGGATAGTTGAAATCAGTACAACATTATTGGCTTTGTAGGCAGAGGAGAGAAAAAAGTAGTTTTCCTGCATTTGGTTTCTGAAAGCATTATTCTTACAATGCATAAGGAATATAGTGGGTTTTGTTGTTCAAAGGAGTGCCAGAGTTAGAGTAACACAACCAGTCTGGCTTCTGTATAATCACTCTAATAAAATCCAAATTCTTTTCTCATGCAAATAGTTTGTGGGCTTTGTATTAAAAATTCTTTGTAACTTTTAGTGGTGAGTGATGTGACTTCTAGTTTTAGTGATGAGCTTCTAACTTTGGAACAAAATTAAAAGAAAGTAATCTAGAATTCAAGTAGGAGTTTTAATCTAAAATAATATGTATTTTTCATTTTAATTCTTGAATGAGGTTTAAAATACAAAGGCACTTTCAATTTTAGGTCATTTTTTATAGTATCAGAACTACAAAGTACTCTATGTTGCAAGTTAAAAACAGGAAGAGGCAGTTGGATTTTTCTGTAGTTTATTTGATAGAATGATGTACTGATCTAAAGCAAGCTGTTTGTTTTTCATTATAAAACTGTCACTGAGAATTGCTGTGTTTGCTTTCTCCCACTAAGCCGGTCTCCAAGCAGAGAGAGAAAGAGACCCCGATGGGAGGAGGACAGAGAAAGGTGGTCTGAGAATCAGAGCTCCAGCAAAGAGAAAAATTATACCACTATCAAGGACAAAGAATCAGAGGAGAATGCATCTGAAAAAAACGAAGAGGAAGATGAGGAATTACTTAAGCCAGTCTGGGTTCGCTGTACCCATTCTGAAAGCTATTATTCCAATGACCCCATGGATCAAGTGGTATGTTTGTGAGAGAATGCTAAAATTGCTCTCCAGAGTCCTTTATTGGTTATCTGGTTACTTGATTAATATGAAACCTTCAACAGGATTATGTTTTTTGTCACTTAATCCTTCTCTCCTAACCATCTCAGTCTCTTAACCCTGTTCAGGGCTTTATTTGTTGGTGTTTTCTATTTTCATCATTCTTCTGACTGTTTTCATTCAGATTAGTGATACATGGAAGAGAGGTACTTTTTTTGTCTCCAGGAGGGTAGGGTGGTTTTTCTTTCCATTACACCTGTATTTGACCAAAGATGCCTCAGTCACCATATATTCCCACGACCTTGGAGAAGTTTTGTATGGAAGGAGGAAGCCAGGATTCTTTGTACTTGACAATAACACTTGGTGATGGAGTAGTGATAGAGGAGGGGAGGTTTCTGGTTTTTTTGCAGGGTTTTTTGTTTGTTTGTGGGTGGTTGGTTGGTTATGGGGGTTTTTTAAGAATGACATGGAAAATGAATTCATGGTGGTTCAAAGCAGGCAACAAAATGAGCTGGGCTTTGAATTTCTTGTGTGTGATTGTGGTGGGTTAACCTTGGCTGGATGCCAGGTGCCCAACAGGCCACACTATCTCTCCCCTTCTCCGCAGAACAAGGGGAAGAAAATAAAATGAAAAACTTGTGGGTCAAGATAAAAGCAGTTTAATTAAAGCAAAAGCCAAGGCCATGTGTGGAAAAACAAAGATTTTGTTCTCTGCTTCCCATCACCAAGCGATGTCCAGCCACTTCCTGGGAAGCAGGGCTTCAGTATGTGTAGTGCTTGCTCCCAGAGACAGATGTCATAACAACGAATGCCCCCTTCCTTCTCCTTTCCATTAGCTTTTGTTGCTGAGCTGATGTCATATGGTATGGAATATCCCCTTGGTCAGCTTGGGTCAGCTGTCCTGGCACTGTCCCGGCACTGTCCCTTCCCAAGATCCTGCCTGCCCCAGGGGCCTTGAGTCTACTGGGTGGGGGTGGTGCTGGGGAGGCAGCCTTGATGCTATGTGAGCACTGCTAAGCAGTATCAAAAGCACTGGTGTTACCACCTTTCTAGCTACCAGTGCAACTCACAGCACTGTGAGGGCTGCTATGAGGAAATTAACTCCATCTCAGCCAGACCCAATACCATCTCCACCCCTTATTCCGTGCCATTTGTGTTATGTTCAGGTCCCACATAATTTAATACATAATACATATCTAACCGTTCCATTGCCATTTAATTCTCATTACTGAAATTCCTTCTTATGAACACTTACAACTTAAGTACATACTTAACCGTCTCTATACCCAACATACAGATTTATACATGCTCAGTAACTACCATCCCCTGTCTGTTAACAGATGGCTATTATTCTCCCATTTCATGGGCTTCTTCCACTCCTCTAGATGTTCGCAAACAGGCTACGATTTGGTCCTGTTTGCCAAGATGGGTGTTTAGGACAGGAGAAGCAGCATGTTGGCTTGTTGGGCATCAACACTGGCTTGCTTGGGGTCATTGTTGCACCCTTCTTATTCCTTGTGAAACTCACTCTTCATCAGTTCAGGTCGCTCCTGCCACATCACTTCCTACAACATACAACTCGCATCACAGATTTTTTTCCCCCAAGATTAAATCTTCTTGAGGTACACACCAGGTCTCCCCATCCTTCCGCATTACCCCCCAGGTACACCCAGGTCCGTGAACAAAGACAGTCCCACGAATGGGTCTGCCTTTCCCCATGGGAGGAGCAACCCACACTGCCTTCCCCAGCCATTTACCTGTGTGCACTACAGGGACCTTATCTCCTCCCACAGTATGCAAGGGTTTTGTTTGGACAGGACCAGGACGGTTAGCAGACCCTCTGGTGTTAACCAGCCAAGTGGCTTCTGCTAAATTTGTGTCCCACTGCCCAATGCTCTCAACATAGTTTTTAACAGTCCACTATATCTCTCAATTTTCTAGAAGCCTGTGGGTAATAGGGGATATGATACACCCACTCAATGCCGTGTTTCTTTGCCCAGGAGTTTATAAGGTTATTTTGAAAATTAGTCCCATTGTCCTATTCAGTTCTTTCAGGAGTGACATGTTGCCACAAAATTTGCCTTTCAAGGCCTAAGATGGTGTTTCGGGCAGTGGCATGGCTTACAGGTTATGTCTCTATTCAACCAGTAGTTGTTTCCATTATGGTGAGGATGCTTGCCCTGGCATGTTCATGGCAGTGGTCCAATATAGTCAATTTGGCAGGCATCACCATACTGAAAACCCAGCCCCTGCCCTACATTCCAGGGAGATTTTACTCGTGTGGCTCGCTTGATTGCAGCACATATTTCACATTCATGAGTGACCTGTGTGATGGCCTCCATGGACAGGTCCACCTCTTGGTCACAAGCCCATCTATATGTAGCATCTCTCCCTAGATGTCCCGATGTTTCATGGGCCCATTGAGCTAGAAATAGCTCACCCTTACACTCCCTGTCCAGATCCACCTGAGCTACTTCAATTTTGGCAGCCTTGTCCACCTGTTTGTTGTTTCGATGTTCTTCAGTGGCATGGCTTTTGGGCATGTGAGCATCTACACGGCATACCTTTAGAGCTATGTTTTCTATCCAGGCAGTGATGTCCTGCCACAATGCAGCATCCCAGATGGGTTTGCCCCTGCACTGACAGTTGTTGTTCTTCCACTGCTGGGGACACCCCCATAGGGCGTTGGCCACCATCCAGGAGTCAGTGTAGAGGTAGAGTATTGGCCAGTTTTCTCATTCAGCAATCTTTAGGGCTAATTGTATTGCTTTCACTTCTGCAAACTGACTTGATTCACCTTCTCCCTCAGCGGTCTCAATGACTTGTCATGTGGGACTCCACACAGCAGCTTTCCATTTTTGATGGTTTCCTACCACACAACAGAATCCATCAGTAAATAAAGCATAACACCTTTCATCTTCTGATAACTCATTATATGGTGGTGCCTCTTGGGCACAAGCCACATCCTCTGGTAACACTCCAAAATCTCTGCCTTCTGGCCAGTCCATGATCTCTTCCAGGATTCCTGGATGGTTGAGTTTCTCTAGTCGAGCTCTCTGAGTGATCGGTGCTATCCACTTACACCATGTAGCATTGGTTGCATGATGACTAGATGAGATGTTTCCTTTGAACATCCAGTGTAACACAGGCAATCGTGGTGCTAAGAGGAGACATGCTTCTGTACCAACAACTTCTGAAGTGGCTGGAACCCCCTCATGTGCTGCTAGTATCTCTTTTTCAGTTGGGGTGTAGTGGGCTTGATCCTTGTGATATCAAGTGATCCTTGATAACCTGGCCCCAAAACCCTAATAGTTGACCTCTGGTTTCTGCCAGAGGCTCCAGGTGAGACCATGCTCCCCAGCTGCAGTGTACAGTATGTTTTTCACAGCTGGTCCTGTCCAGACAGGCCCAAGAGCTACTGCACGAGCTGTCTCCTGTTTGATGTGCCCAAAGGCTTGTTGTTGCTTGGGACCCCACTCAAAACAGTTCTTCTTTCGAGTTACTCAATAGAGAGGGCTCACAAACTGACTATAATCTGGAATATGCATTCTCCAGAAGCCCACAAGGCCTAGGAAAGCTTGTGTTTCCTTCTTGTTAGCTGCTGGAGACATAGCTGCTATCTTGTTGATGACATCTGTGGGTGCGTGATGGCGTCCATCCTGCCACTTTATTCCCTAGAATCGGATCTCCTGGGCAAGTCCCTTGACCTTGCTTTTCTTTATAGCAAAACCTGCCCTCAGAAGGATCAGAATTATTCTTTCTCTGTTCTCAAACACTTCCTCTGCTTTGTTGCCCCACACAATGATGTCGTCAATGTATTGTAGATGTTCAGGGGCATCACCCTTCTCCAGTGCAGTCTGGATTAGTCCATAACAAGTAGTGGGGCTGTGCTTCCACCCCTGGGGCGGTCAATTCCAGGTGTACTGGACACCCCTCCATGTGAAAACAAACTGTGGCCTGTACTCAGCTGCCAATGGAATTGAGAAAAACGCATTGGCAATATCAATCGTGGCATACCACTTAGCTTCCTTTGACTGTAGTTCATATTGAAGCTCCAGCATGTGTGATACCGCAGCACTCAGTGGCAGTGTCACTTCATTCAGGCCATGATAGTCTACTGTCAGCCTCCACCCTCCATCAGACTTCTGCACTGGCCGTATGGGACTATTAAAGGGTGAGTGAGTCCTGCTGATGACTCCTTGGCTTTCCAGTTGAAGAATCAGTTCATGGATGGGTGCCAGGGAGTCTTGGTTTGTGTGGTATTGCCGCCAGTGCACCATCCTGGTAGCGATTGGCACCTGCTGTTCTTCAACTCGCAGCAATCCCACAGTGAAGGGATCTTCTGAGAGGCCAGGCAGGATAGATAGCTGTTTGATCTTCTTGGTGTTCACAGTGGCTACACCAAAAGCCCATCAGTCCCCCTTTGGGTCCTTGAAGTACCCTCTCCTGAGGTAGTCCATACCAAGGATACAAGGGGCTTCTGGGCTGGTCACAATGGGGTGCTTCTGCCACTTGTCTCCTGTTAAGCTCACCTCAGCCTCCAACACGGACAATTCTTGGCATCCCCTGTCACTCCAGAGATCCAGATGGGCTCTGTGCTTGCGTACCCAGATGGCAGCAGTGTACACTTAAGTCCACCTTTCTAGCTATCAGTGCAATGGACAGCACTATGGGGGCTGCTATGGGGAAATTAACTCCATCTCAGACAGACCCAATACAGTGATAAAATTATTTTTAATTGCAAAATATTTCCATAGGTCTCATGTTTCTTCTAAACCTGTTGAAAATCAAAGCTGAGCGGTACTAAATATGCTTAGCCATAGTTCTGCTTTGTTAGGCTAAAGGTCGAGTATTTCAGTGTTTCACTGAACTACACTGGGAACTGTCTTTTCTCCGTGTTGCTTTTCATTGTGAAATGCTGGTGTGTGTTGTGTTCATGTGCTGTTTCAACACTGTCTTTTTATTGTTGTTGTTCTGTTTTTTAATTAACAGGGGGACTCTACTGTGGTAGGAACAAGCAAGCTCCGAGATCTGTATGAAAAGTTTGACGAGGAGTTAGGAAAGCGGCAGGCAAAGGCCAAAGCAGCCAGGCCACCATGGGAGCCACCAAAGACCAAGCTAGATGAAGATTTAGGTATGCAGAAATTATGACAAAGCTCTGAAATTGAATGATCTGTAGTTAACCTGGTTTTCACTGTTGTTTGTATTTAATGTTGGTAGGCTAATACATATTTTTTTTAATCCTTCCTTTCTGTTACATATCTAAAGAAGCTTTACTGTTGCTTTTGATTGAAGTAGAGCTAGATTCTTTGCCCAGAAAGCCTAAGAGGAAATGGAGTGTATCCAGCAGTGCCTTATGCTAAAGTCTCTTCCGTGGCATGAAGGCACCCTGAGCATGGTCAGATAGGCCAAAGCATGTCACAGAAGAGGCTTTGAGGAGCTCCTAGTCTTTCTAAAGACTTTTGTGAAGACTCTTTCTTTATTTTCTAGTATTTCTAAAAAGGAGTCATAAAATCATAAGGGTGGTTTGGGTTGGAAGAGACCTTAAAGATCATCGAGTTCCAGCCCCCCTGCCATGGGCAGGGACACCTCCCACTAGCCCAGGTTGCTCAAAGCCTCATCCAGCCTGGCCTTGAACACCTCCAGGGATGGGGCATCCACAACTTCCCTGGGCAACCTGTTCCAGTGCCTCACCACCCTCACAGTAAAAAATTTCTTCCTACTATCTGATCTAAATCTACCCTCTTTCAGCTTTAAACTGTTATCCCTCCTCCAATCGCTACACTCCCTGATAAAGAGTGCCTCCCCATCTCTCCTGTAGGCCCTCTTTTAAGTACTGGAATGCAGCAATAAGGTCTCCTTGAAGCCTTCTCTTCTCCAGGCTGTGCAACCCCGATCTTATGCAGAAGTATCAGTTTTTGAAACATATTTTGTCTGTATTGTCTGCACCACCTATAGGGATCTTCTTGCAGTGAAATAAGTCTGCTAGCTGTATCAGTTATTGGGGAAATACTGTCCAAATTAGCAGGGCGTACTTTTTGATAGGAATTTATCTACTCTGAAGCCAGTGCAAGCTGCTTTTCATAGTTTGTTTTGTGAGAACTGTTATCTGCTCTTATTATACTTCTGCCATTTCAGTGTTTCATAGTCTGTTTTTCAGTCAGTTGCTTTAGTTCAAGAAATTCTTGGACATATCAGATTAATTTAGATACTGCACTGGGCTTGTTTTTTAACTGATGCTTCGTGTCTGCCTGTTGAGCTGTTTCAGACTGAGCCTAGTAGCTCTTTAAAAATCACATACAAGAAATTGTAAAGTTGAAATACAGGTATTTAATGACATGGTCAGTTATATGCAGGCAGTGTAAAAAGAACAATAAAGATTAAAGAAAAATAATAAATAGATTAAATAAAATGTGAATTCACTTTTGTAGAGGATACACCTTTTTTACCTTTTTTTTGAACAGCAGGTTTGCACATATTTAAATTCACTCAAGAATCACAACCAAAGTTAACTGCAGGGTTTTTCAGCAGGCATATTTTCATGTGGATGAAGCAAGGAGAAAACTACTACATTCAGCATATCTGTGTAAAGCTTCACTTCCTTGAATCTCTGCAGTAAGAGTTCCTTTACTGCTCCAGGCTAAAATATAGGGCCAAAAGCGACTTCTGCGTTTCTTTTTCTGCTCTTTCTGGAGGACCCAAGGGCTCTGCGTTTGCACTGGTCCCCTGGTCCAACTTGGTGTCTGTGCCAGCTTCTCCTAAAGTCATGCTTGTGTAGTGTGTAATAGTTTGTCTTATTTTGTACTTAAGTAAATGCTGTCTCTGTTCTGCTTTGTGTTATCAGTAATTGTGTTCTGTAGTGAGATAGTGATGCACTCAGAGAACACTTTTAGGTTATGAAAGGCAGATTTCAGTACATGATATCCAAAAGTTCTGCATTGGTCTTTCAGAATTCCAGCTTACTCCCAGGTCCCACACTCATTGTGCACCTAAAATTAGACTTATACAACTAATTAATGTTTATGAGGGAACCTTTAAAATGCAAGTGTTTGTGAATATTTGTAGGAATACACATGTATGCACATTCAGACAAAACTTGATTGCAACTGAGTGTATATGACCAGTGTAAGCCATATGTCCCAAGGACATATTTTAATAATACCTTATGCTGAATTAAGGACTGTAAAAAAATGCATCTTGATTTTTTTTTTTTTAAGGAAGCATATTTTACTAGTAATATTATCTCATGTTCTCTCTCTCCCTCTTTTTCTTTTAACTGAGGAGAGTCTTGTATTCAGTAAATGCGCATATTTTAAATACACATATTTTAAACCATAGTTTCACAGTATTTCAAAGCACTGTCAACGTAGTAATTTATTTTTGCTTAAGTCAGAACTTAGAAATGGAAGAAATGTTGCATCCCTCCTTCAGAGAATAATAAACCTTACTTGCTTCATGCTATATGTCTTGGCTATGAAAGCATTTATTTAACTTGGAGCTGAGATCATCTGTGGAAGTGAGTGACATTACATACGTAAGAAAGGGAGTCACTTTTAAGTACCATGGGTGGTTAGACATATGCGAGATCAGGCTCTGGGTTTTTTGTGGTTTGTTTTCTTGTTTTGTTTGGTTGGTTTATTTTTTTAATTAAGTCCAGACACTTATTAATATAAATTTGACAAGACCACAAAGGAGACTTTTTAACAAATCTAAGACCATCTTCTGTTCTTTTTTTTTCTTTAGCATTGTTCTCCCCTCTGATAGATCAGAAAAACTGTTTCAGTTAATACAAAGAAAAATGTCTTAAAGGAAAAATAAGGAGGAAGACTCACAGAACAGCACTTCCAAAAAGCTTATGGCTGGATTCATTCAGCTAGTAGTTCTGGGTTTTCTTTTTGTCTGTGGTTTCTAATATGTAATAATGAATTTATTAGAAATAATTGACTTTGAAAAATGAGTCTAACAGTACATGTTCTGTAATAGTTCTATCCATATGTGCTGTTTTATAACTCTTAGATAGACAGTATCCTGCTACAGACAGCAGCATTTTCGGGTGAAATGAAACTAGACATTAACACCTTGCTTGTAGCAACCATAATTGACTTTTAAACAAGAGGTTCTGTTTAGCTCATGCTAGTGACCTTATGTGTATTCTTTCCTTTTTCTCTCTCTCTCTTTTTTTTTCCTTTGTTTTTAATAACTTTAGAGTCATACTTGTGTTGGTTACCAACTCTATGATCTTTAATGTCAAGTAACTGAAATTGCTCTTCTGCAGCTGATCGATGTGCTTCTGAACAGCCAAACAGCAATGTGATGCATTCAAACAGATGCAGTTGTTGTAGGCATTTAATATCCATAGTATTTGCTGTCATTTTTAATTAAAAATGCAGTTGCTGTCCCTCTTCCTGTTAGCATGAATGGCACGCACAACTTTAAGAAGTTTCAATATGCCAGTTCTTTATGTCATGTTAGAGAATGCATTGCTACTGGGGAAGACTGTGTGTGGAAGTGTTTTTCAGCTGATTTTATTTTCTCTGTGTGAATCAGAGAGCTCCAGTGACTCAGACTGTGACTCTGAAGATGACAGCAGCTGCTCTAGCAGTTCAGATTCCGAAGTTTTTGACGTCATTGCAGAAATTAAGCGTAAAAAAGCACACCCTGATCGTCTCCATGAAGAACTGTGGTACAATGATCCTGGACAGGTAAGGTGAGAGGAAAAAGTACTGTCTGTCTAATAGTCATTCTCCCCTTTGAGACCTGAAATTCTGCATTGTTGTCAAACAAGCTGAGTGACATCTATTTCAATACACTTTTTTACCCCCTTTTTCTCCCTCATCTTCTTCAAAGCACTTCACTTTTGATTTCAAGAATGTGGTTCCAGCTCATGAATCCTGGGGATTTATTCAGTTGGAATCATGTCTGACAATGTTAATAAAACCTGAATGGCTAACAGTGTATTAATGCCGTCCTCTTAGCCCTGAGATAAAAGTACACAAATGAATTCTGGTATGGAGAAAATACAGCATGTTTACCTCCTTTACAAATTTTTCACCCAGAAGCTCTCAGCTCATAATGATAAATAATATTTTAAATATGCAGTTAATGCTTCTAATTTCTCATCTAATGGTTCTTTTGTAACTGCATGGAGAGTACGGTTCTCATTAAATGTAATTGCTGAGCTCATGAAGTGTTGTTTTTGAATGTATAAATTGCACAGAAGACTAGTTTTTGTTTGCAAGTTTGCCATCTTCATCTTTCTTACTTAAATATTTTACAGTCTTCTAACTCATTGTCAAATGGCATCCCAGTAAATTTATTTTTCTGGCATTTTGTGTGATGCATGAGTTTAGCATGCAACAAATCATAATTCCAGGAGATACTGCAATGCTTATTGCCACTGTGGTAATTCGAAGATCTGTTGAATATTCTGTGGTAGACTCATATTTATGCTTCTAAAGTTAAAAAAAAATGTAATTTGACTGACTACAGCTAGCTGGTTTTATTTGTATGGAAAACAAAATTAGCAAACTGTTTAGATATTTAACTGAAAAAAATTGTGTGGCTCTTGGGCACCCTTCAAAGTAATGTTCTAGGCCAGAATATTAGCTAAATAGAAAGAAATGGAATAACTGTAGGATGAGTAGATTCAGGAATATGTGGTATATGAGTTTCCTTCTGAAAAACTTTATTTCCCAGAAACTTTCTTGAGACTGATTCTTCATCTTTCTTGAAGGGGCTGAAATCGGATAATGATGAAATGTTCAGGGCTGTACTACTTTTGAGTAGATTTTATTTGAAAACATTTGGAGTTTTCCTAGGTATTTATCTGGTATGCCAGAATGTTTTCTAACTACATAAAACAAGAATGATTGTTGTGCACAGTGGCACATCCAAGTACACCGTCTGACACAGAACTAGAATTTTAGGATGGATCTTCCCAATCCTTCAATCTGAGCAGTGTGTTTCTTACTTTGGATAATCTCCAGCAGTGCTGGCAGCTGCCAGAAAATAAATTGTTAAAGCCAATGCAACCACGGTGGCCTTTTGCTTACAATTGCTCTCTGCTTGTTTGTGTTGCCCTGTTGGCCAGAAGAATTTAGAAGCCGTTGCCTTAGTTTATGTGAAACTGTGATCTTTCAACATTGTTTCACCATCACTTCATGATTCCTCTTCTGCATTTTTTTTCCATGAATTGTGTCATTAGGAACAAGATAGACATGTATCTGACTTGCTTCTCAAGTCCTGGCTTTACAAGTACTTCACTCAGTTTCCATCTGTGCGTTTAATGTGACAGAGGCAGTGTTAGTGCTGGACAGTTCTAGGGATTAAGGAGGAGATTTTCCAAAATAAGCGATGATTATTTTAATAGCCTCAGTAGGCCCTTATTTTTTGAGGATTGATGACCAATTTGCTGTTTGTTGTATTTTTTAACTCTCTTCTGTTTTTTAGCTGCATAAGCCAGTGAGGAAGTATGCTTTTACCTCCACACTTGATTCAGTTTCATTGAGCCCGTACTTTCCTCAGGGGTCTCAGAGTGTGGAAAAAAATGCGTGAACAAAAAGGTGTCATGTCACTTTGTTGTTAAGATAGTACAATGTAAGTTCCCAAAGAAGTAGAGAAGTGCCCTACTTCTTATGTTCCTTTGCATATATGCACTGTGCCAGTCTGAAGAAATTAAACTGAGATTAACATTCAGAGAGTTAACATCAGAACTAAAAATTTCATCCCTCTCCCAACTGTCTGAAGACTATATTAGCAGCAATTTGGTGGTTCTTGCTTACTGAGGTATCTTTACATTATTATCTGTTTGCTGATGATGCTATTTAGCTCCACCATGGATGCTGTTTCCATTTTCAGACTGCTTATAATGGCACAGAAAGTTCTGCTGGTTTTTGTATTGCATTACAAGGTTGTTGGATTTTTTTCTAAGTCTAAAAAGAGTTTTTCAGTTCTTGAATTTAAACTTCGAAAAACTCCATTAAAGCCTGGGGTTGGAAACTTCATTTGTTTCTCTGGTTTGGTTCTGGATTGTTTTGGTTTTTTGTTGGATTTCTGAGTGGGCATGATGTTAAGAGCCGAAAGCTTTAGGATATTGCAGTAATTGATAGTCTGGTCATAAAAGTGAAAAGAAAGACACTAGCTTTATACTGTGTGCCATGGCCCTTTTTGATATAGCTACTTGATGCACCCATACAGAATACTGAAGTGGGTACTTTTTCCCCCATTCCTCTTTTTTGCTGATCTCTTCACAGGATGTATTTGAAGTGTTCCCATTGCTTCTTTAAAGTTACAAGTAAAATCTTCAAATGGTCTGCTTTGCATACTTTTGCTGGTAGCCTTGCCACATTGCAGAGGGGTTAATGACGGACAGGATTTCAGTCAGTGAGCTGAGTGGAACTGTTTGAACATGGAGATTTCAGCATGTAGGTATTTAGGACCTGAATCTCATTTTAGGCAGTGTGCTGTTTGTAAGTATAAGAAATGGAAAAGATGTATATGATAGTAGAGTGGTACGATTCTGCTAAGAGCATTTTTCCATTTTGTGCTTCTGAAACAGTGATGAAGTTCTAATGCTGTTGTGCAGTTTTCTTACATTAGTCTATACTGTTTTCAGTTTTATTGGCTTAAGAACATCCACTTAATCTAAGCATGACAGGCTTTTAGAAACATCAGCACTCCAGGCATTAAAACTAACATACTTTTCCAAAACCATTTTTCAGTAAAAATAGAATCCTATTTTATTTTTGACAGATGAATGATGGACCTTTGTGCAAGTGCAGTGCTAAAGCCCGACGAACAGGAATAAGACATGGCATTTATCCTGGTGAAGAGGTAAGTAATTCTAAGGATTGAAATTATGAATACAAACTTGCTGCTGTAAGCTCATTCCTGGCTTGATTTGAGGGTTTTTTCCATGATTTACATGCTTAGTAAAAACTCCTGTGCAACTTTAAATCACTTAGTTGTGTAACCTCATATTTAAAATGTAATACTGGTAATGAAATCCACCTGAAAACTATGGAAAACTTATGCTTGTATTTGTTTAGTTCTAGGGGTTGTTTTTAAAGTTTCTGAAACACAATTGCATTAATGAAACAGAACTTGTGGTTAAAGATGTACCATCTTTAAGTGGATGAGCATGTTATGAGGGCTCTCTTTGTGAAGGGATTTCTTTAAAAGGAAAAATAAATAAAACAGTAATTCTGCTGATGGGAGCAGGAAGCTTGTCAGGAGGCATTCTTGCCTTAGCACTAGAGCATGCCTACACTGTAAACATTCCTCCCCACATTGTCTCTAGTGTTTTTCTTTCAGAGAAGGAGGGAGAAAATTTTAGCAGGAGAAAGCTGATATAGAAAATGTGCTGCGTGAAGGCAGCTGCTCCCTGGAGCAAGGCCAGCTGAGAATTTGAGGTTTCACAAAATTTCCAAGGATATACTAGTTTTTACAGTGTCCTGTAGATAAAACTGCCTAGCTTTAAACTGGCTGGTTTACAACTGTCTTGTTGCATCAGAGAGAAGCTTAATTTGGGGCTGAACAGCCAGAGTAATTACCCTGCTTATTGAATGGGTTTTGCAAAGTGCACAGAACTGCGTAGTGGTGTAGCTATCTTGCCATTGCCATCAGGCCAATTTTTGTAATACTGTTTAGAGTAGTACCCTGCTCACTGCAGTGATTTTTTTTGCCATGCAGACAGATGTATTCTGAACAGGCTGGTGGCAGCCTCTGAACTGCAGCAAATTGGATGTAGGGCGTACAAGAAACTGGTTTTGTCTGACTGCTGAGGATTTTTAGATCTTTAAACTGGACTGTTTCAGAACAAGCTGGAAGAAAATGTGAATCCCAGGTGTTTGGCATTGCATCAGAGTGCACAGAGGGCTGGCTGCCTTTGGACCTCACAGGCAGGCATTACAACCTGGCAGACAGAGCAAGGTGACCCGAGCTCCCTCTTGGTGATAGAGTAATCCCTTCTCTACAGGCCCCAGATTTGGCCCAAGCAGATGAGCTGATACCTGTCTGTCTTGATAACATACTTTGAGATCTTCCCATGTGAGGTCCAGGTTCCTTTTCGTAAGCTTTTAAAATCACTTTTCCAAAACTTATATAAAAGAGGAAATTATTCTGGTACGTAAACAACTGCTGTGTGTAAGGAAGATGGAAAGTCAAATGGAAAATGAAAAAAACTGCAGTAATGTTTTTCACTTTTTTTTCCTGTTGAATAGCTTTAAAAATACTTCTGAAAGGGAAAATGTAGATAAGGTTCTGCTTTCCCTCTTCCCAGAATGCTTAATTATGACTACCTGCTTTTATTTAATTTTTCCTAGTGCATATTTCATGGCTATTAGAAGTGCTTTATTCTCTCTTTTAATCTAAATTTGCCTTGACTCTACACATAATTCTACTTATCTCTTTCTTTAAGCCCATTAAACCATGTCGCCCCATGACCAACAATGCTGGAAGACTATACCACTACCGAATTACTGTGTCGCCTCCCACAAACTTCTTAGTAAGTACTTTATAAATAATTCTAACTAGGACTCTAATTTTGTTTTCAGTGTTGGAAGTAGTACTACTTCTTGCTTACTCTGTGGTGCTTTTTTTCTCTTTTTTCAGACAGACAGACCTACTGTTATTGAGTACGATGACCATGAATATATCTTTGAGGGGTTCTCAATGTTTGCACATGCCCCACTAACAAACGTAAGTACGTTCATTGCTACATACGTGGGATTTGTTTCGAAAGCAAGCTATTTCTGCCCTGAAGTAGAACTTCTTTAAAACAACAGTACATGTATGTTTAAAACATCTCGCCAGCACTGAGCACATGGGAAAGACATTTATTCTAATTAGTGTCAGGTTTTGTCTTGACTAATTGTGGCAAGTGTTGCCTTCAAGCTGCGATTGAGGCTGTGGTGTGCATCCCTGTAATGTTTTTACATGTTTCACAGTTTGGAAGTGAAATAAAGCATGGAATAAACTGTTAAAACTGTTAATTGGATTTAAATTGGATGAACAGGTTTGTTAAGTTGAAAAAGTTTAAAAACGAGCAACAACAATAAAATAAGATTTTCCCTTTATTAAGTGACAAATAGACTTTTTTCAGAGATTCACTCTAAAGGGATTTCTCTCTTCTGAAAACTTACCTAGATGTATCCACTGCTTTCTAACATCTGATCAGCTTCTTCAGGAACTAGGCAAGTTATAATTTTTATTAAAAGTTGTAGTTGTTTTGAAAGCAAATATAACAAGAAAACAACATGATTAGTACCTGACTGCCCTGCTTTTCCAATATAAACTGAGTTAGCCGTATCTGATTGAAAAATGTGCAAATATTTAATTTCTGTAAATTTGAAGATTTTTTTGTTATCTTGATATTTCAAGAACTGTTTTTCAAGTGTTGTATGGTTTGTTTGTTTCCTTGGTTTTATACCTATTACTAACTACACCATCAATGCCAAAACCTAGTACGAGAATGGTTATCAGTACAGGACTGGGATGTAAGAATACTGGAACTGAGAGAAAGCTTTTTTTTTGTGACAGTTTGCTTTTGCTTGCATAATATGTATGACAACACTTTACTTTTGGTGATGAGGGGAAGGGACTGTAATGTTGATGAGAAATCAGTAAGAGAGTAGAGTTCAGCCCGTGAGGTTGCAGTATGAAGCAGTCCTGCCAGGTAGCATTAACTCAGCCTTGGGGTTCAAGGCAGGTTTTTCATGGGGCTTTACATTTTCATTTTGCAAATGAGCTAAAAGGAACAGTTTTGTTTTACTCTAATTAAAAGGGTAAAAAGACCACCTTATCTTTATAATTTTTGTGTCTGCTGCATGACAGGAGAGCAAAGAGTTATGGAAATCTTTAATATACAGAGAACAAGGAAGACTATTCTTGTCTGACATTAGTAGGTAGTGAAGACATTGAGCTTACTCTTACTGTGAAGTGCGCGTGTGTTTTTTCTCATTCCAAATAGAGGAAGTGGTCAGCAGCAAATGATTATTTTTTTACAGAGTAGAATGCAAAGCAACACCGTATTGTCAGTTCCTGTTGCTAACAGTTATGAAGCCCTTTGGAAGGAGTCTCTTGCTGTCTTGAGATGATTTTTGGCAACATGAAAACTGTAGTTTGAGAGACATTTTGGAACGTGTTAAAAGGGGGGTTGCAAAGGGCAACAAAAACTGAGATCCAAACATCGACATCTTTGAATGAATCAAATGTCTGTAATTTGAAGTCTTAGCTTTGCACACTGTTAGAGGTCTTACTGCTGTTATTAGTATTTCTCGGTAATAATTTTGAGCAGGTCAGATATTGTGAAAAATCGTTAGTACAGTCATAAGAGAAATTATAATTTTCTTAATACAACTACCAAAACAATTCTGCAGTGTCATTCACACGTTCCTTTGCTATGTATTTGGTTGTGTACTTGTAACTCTTATTTGGAGATTTTGGTCATGGTCACTTCTCTAAAGCATTCATTTTCTATTCAATACAAATCAAAATAGCCCAGGTTTCTGAGTTTCTGAATCAAAATATCCTCTCCTGGTTGAAATTACATGTTAGAGTGTAGGCAAATCGTCCTTGTATTTTATTTTTTTTTTAAAGCCCCTCTGATTTAAATGTGACAGGTTTTCCTCTCCTCAGATTCTGAATGGGACATTTGACTTCCAAGGTTTTTTATTTTTGTATTAGCGTTTAATATTATATCACATTGCAGGAAATGAAATTTTTTCCTTGGTGTTTGGTGTAGCCCCGTAGTTTATCATGCAGATACCAACAGATCTTTGTAGACGAAAATAGACAAATGTTTGACAGTGAGCTGCAAGAAGATGCAAGCAGAATAGTGCACTCTGCTAAGTCCGTTGATTTCAGTGCAGCCCCAGCACCGTTCAGATTTTTATTTGTGTGCTTATCAATGCAAAATAACCTTGGGTTGCCTCTCTCTCACAGACCATTGAATTATTCTAAGATTATTTTATGCTTGCAAGGCCAGGGAATAGTAGAACTTGCTAAGAGATGTAGATGTGTAAGTGGGATTAGTCATTTATGTAGTCGTTCAGAAACTTAGCTTTTTTGCTTTTAAAAAATCCCATTAAAAAAAAAAAAACCCAAACACCTTCGGCAGTCCATGGTCTTCACAAAGAAAGGAAACTTTTTGTGAAAAAAACTGAATTAGATGTTTGTCTTACTAGTTAGTTGAGTGAACTTCTGTGAATGTTAACTGGATGAAATTAGTATAAACTTATAAATTTATCTTGAAGTTCTTACATTGTGTTGCTGTGACTTAAAGCCATATTTTAAGACAGTGTAGCTAACAGAATTGGCAGTTAGTTACAATTGCTAAAAACACCTTGCCTTCAGGTAATTGTATCAATCTGACATGTTGTGTCACCCACAATGAATTAACTTCCAAATATACAAGTGAGAGAAAATATGGGTTTACGGAGCTTTGCTTTTTCTTCTAAACAAAATTTCATCACCAGTAGATGGCATTATTTAATCTTCCTTGACCATCCCTCCTGTCAGCCCTGTGTTATTACAGAGGCAGAGGTTAGAATTGTTACTTTTCTTGCACACGCTTGTGTTCCTGTCTTTGCATGATCCCCCAGAGCAGCTGTTTTAGTAAGTGCCCTTTTCAGCAGACAGTGATACCTTTGCATACAAAATTGCATTAACTACATTTGATGCTGTATAGTTTTTCATGCTGAAATTCTTTTTTCCTTCCAGATTCCTCTATGTAAAGTAATCAGATTTAACATTGACTATACAATTCATTTCATTGAGGAGATGATGCCTGAGGTAAGAAGGATAATTAGTCAGAAAATCAGAGTGGGTTATGAGTTGTTGATATGCTTAATGGATTAAACTCTTCAGAATCCCTTCTCATGACGTCTCTAAGAGACAGGCTCTGTTCTGAACAAATGGCTGAAAAGGAACTTGCATTCACAAGTACTAGCATAAATCCATCTACCTAGGCTATCGTATGTTAAAATCAAAGAGTAAGAAGTGCTTATATCCATAGCTTCTTTTCATTTTAAGTTATTTACAATATACGTCAAGTACTCTTATCTGTAAGCTAAGTTAGGCACTATCCTTCTTTTACGGATGACAAAAATAAGGCATGTGGAGGTGCTGGTTTGCCAGGACCACATAAGTCAGTGTCAGAGCTGAAACTTAATCATGAGTTTGAAGCCCTGAAGTTGCTTATCAGTACTTAATGTAAGCTGTTGGCAAAACAAATTTCCGGTGGATAGAAACAAAGCACATTCAGTTCATAATCTTTTTTTGTTTGTTATTACAAATTAATCACTGGTGAAGCCACTTTGTGAAGTCAGTTGCTGCAGTGGAACACAGTGTGTAGGTACGGAAACATCCCTGCATATTAACTGCAAAGATAGGATCAGTGTTTAATTTGGTCACATATGTTTACATTTTTCTTTCTAGTTATCTCTTTTTTTGTGGCTCAACAGCATCTAAATGTATGCAAGAGCCCTGAAATTCCTCAGCAAGTTTAATGTGATCAAAGCAATTAATTTCTTGTTACTGAATCTGCTGTGTTGCCTCCAAACCGTGTTCTAGAACAACAAATGGCCACCAAGCAAAATAGGGAATTTGCCATTTTTTTTTAATCCTGGTTAATTGGCTACAGCACTATTTGCAGACTGTGTTTACTAATGTGTTCTTGTGAAAGAGATTGAGTTGTTGGGTTTGGAATTTGTGGCTGGTATCATACACATATAATTTATATCAACCTGGCCTGATTTTGTTCGTAAAAGAAGGCTTTTTAAGTTCCTTCATTTTTGAATGAAAGGTCTTTGCTTTGAAGGAGCTGCTTTCCCACTTGATGAGAAGAATATAATTCTTTTTTCTGTCTTTTATTTTTTTTTTTCCTCCTCTCCTGTCCTGTTGGTTCTTGAGGTCAAAATCCTCAGTTTGCATTGTACTGATACATGGCTATGGAAGTGATGATGGTATCACAAATGGTGATTTATAAACTTTCAGTATGAACATGTAAGAAGAAGTGAATTACAAAAAAGATCCTTCTCAGAAATACATCATCTACTTTACTAACTTAAGTGAAAAGGTTTTAGTCCTTGGTGAATTATTGCAGATTCACAATTACTGCCTATAGTGTTGATTTGAACATTGACTAGTCTTCATTGGAATGCTTTCTTGACAGTGCTTTCTGAAGAAATCGCTGTGTTATGTTACAGTAGGTGATTACAGATACATCAATACTGTTTCCAAAGCCCAGCGTCTAGCAGTGGCAAATATGAAGAAACAGGTTTTTTCATAGTTTTATTTAAATATACGTAAATGGCATTATTTGTATTACAGTATTATCTAATTCTGGTTTGTTTTGTTTTTTTTTTTTCTTTCCCCAGAATTTTTGTGTGAGAGGTCTTGAGCTGTTCTCTTCGTATCTATTCAAAGATATTTTAGAGCTCTATGACTGGAATCTTAAAGGTAACTTTTATTTAGAAGAATAAAAATCCATAGAAAACTCAATCTCATCTTTTGTAAATAGAAATCTATTTTGTTATGTTCTTGATTTAAAAAGAAAAGAAGTGGGGAGGGACCTCAAAAGAAGTCAAATGCTGGTTTGTTTGAGAGAGACAAGCTTCCACTTTGTTCTTCAAGAAGATGAATTATATTAAGAGTTCGTTAGTGTGGGCTGTTACAATTAAAATGCACAAACTTGTCACTGCCTTCTTGCAGATAAACTACGTTTCTTCCTTAATAAAAACTGTTCATTTTAATAAAACAATAAATATTATTGTATGTTTACTATTGCACAGTATCTTGTGCATGGTATTTTGGAAGCCAAGGTGTCGGGTAAGCTATTCTCTCTGTTTTTACAAGCTGACAAACAAGTTACTCATACAGTATTTCTCTACAGACAACTTACAAAGCAGTGTCATACAGGCAGCTGTAGAGGGATAACATATCGTTATAGCTGAATGTTTTTGACTTGACAAGACAAAAATATATGTTTCTGTGAAGACTACAACAAAGGAGAATTTCAGGGATGATCCTTCCCTTGGTCTAAAAGAAAGAAAACCAAGAATATCAAAAGAATTTGATTTCAGAATCTGTAGGCGTGTTTTCATGTCTTGACTTTGTCTGTGGAGTTGCACTCTGCACTTATTGCAGTTAAACAGAGAAGCATACAAGTTTCATACATTTTGTGTAGCCTTCTTTGGTTTGATACTAAATGTTGTCTTTCATGTCACTGGTTCTGATCTTTCTTTTTTAACATCAGGTACTTACTGGTTTTGTTTTTATTTTAATGCAAAGCTTAGGATGATGAAATAGGAAATGACAAAAAAAAATAGCGTCATGAAAATTTCTGTGTTATCTTAGTTATTGCAACCAAAAAACACCCACTAATAGGGAGGGACAGATAAGCTAGTGCTTGTGTCTAAGGCTTAAGTGAATTAATTACATAAAACAATTATTTTTTCATGTCACTGTTTTAAATAGAACTACTGTGGTTTTGTTAGGTTCTTTTTATGTTTAAGTTATTGTAGCTTTCTTTGAAATTGTCCGTGGGAAAGCTTTCACTAGAAGTTGTTACTCTGTTCCTCTCTACTGTGTGTTTTGTTACTTTTCTGATTAAAACTTAGTTCCTATCAAATGTAATTACTATTCATTGAGTTCATCTACAGCAGCGTTGGCAAATATGTTGCTGTTCCTAAGTTTTCTGGGATTTTTTTTTTTTTGTATTTAAGGTCCTTCACTTGAAAATGATCCTGTTTCCTGCCCCAGATTTCATTTCATGCCGCGATTTGTGAGATTTCTTCCAGGTAATGTTTGTATTATGTAGCTTTATGGAAATTAGATCTAACCCACCCAAAAAAACACACCCCCCAAAAAAGCCCCCAAAAAATCTTATTGCAAGTCAAATGGTTCTGTAACTGTAGAGATCTGATGCTTCCATGTGAAGCTGGCAGTGCTTGCTGGCAGTGTGGATGGTTTTACTCAGAACTGGGATTCAGGTGGACAGGCCAAGTCTCGCTTCCAGCTTTAGTCTGTCATGGTGATTTTAGGCAGTTCCAGGTCATCCTTGTCCTGCTCTGCGATGAAGCTGTGGTATTTAAGGAGTGCCATTACCTAATCTCACATGTGAAACTGAATTTAATGTCCCCTCTGCTCTTCACGATACTGTGTGATTATATTAAAATTGTTGACGTGCAGTTTTGAGGGTGATCATGATTGGCACTGCTAAGCACGCGTTGTTCTGATGGTTTATTTCATTATCTTAATGGAAGCTTAGACCTTGCAGCCAATGGTGAAAGGCAGAAAAACACTGTTCCAGTGTAATTCGACCCTAGCCTTCTAGCCAAGGACAAGCTTCAGTGTGGAGTGTTAACTCTTGTTTTGAGTGAACAGCTTACACAGGCATTTAACACATCCTAAGATAGTAAGACAGATTTTCAGTTGATGTAAATGTCATGACTCCATTGAAAATGTGTCCTGCTGAGATCCTGCCAGTGATTGCTCCAGAAGGGTTGTGTGGACAGGAGGATGAGTTTCAGCTGCCGGACTGAGGGTGCAGATGAGACGTGGAACAATCTTCATCAAGAGGGCTGTGGCCTGGAGGTGCTCTTTGCTCTGGGCTTTGAAACTTCGTTGGGTTATTAATTATAGCTGTAGCTAAATGAGGTTTGGCTCATTACTGTGGAGAGTACTGATGTCTAGATGACTATATTTCTAATTGTTGTTCCTTCCTGGATACACAACACTGTTCAATCAGAAGCAGAGCTCTGAGGCTTGCTAGCAAACATTGATTTGGTTCTGCTGAGGCAATTTACAAAATAAGCCATCAAGCCACATGTGGCTGATTAACTTGACCTCATCACAAAATGAAAACAAGTTTGACCTGCCTGGTTTGTATAGCTTGAGGGTGTTTTCCTGTTAGTTTGGGGGTTTTGTGTTCTGATTAGTTTTATCTTAGTTTAGAAGCCAGCTATTTCTGCGCTGTTGGATTATTTACTGATAGGGAGAGATAAGTCTCTATAACATGTATTCCTGTGTGCTTCCTCTTTAAGGTTCCCAGCCTTCTAACTCTTTAGAAAAATGTCTTTTTCCTGATGTTTCTGCATATATAGTTTTCTTTTAGCATCTTTATGACCGATATTTTTGATCAGGTTTGCATTTTGTATTGATTATTTTTTGAGATATCCTTTGAGATTTTTAATTTTCAGAAAGTGGGAATTTATTTCCTTTAGGTATGTTTGCAGAATGTTATTTATCTATGTCTAATCAAAGAAGATACATTGGTGCAACAGATCTCCACACATTCGTCAACTGTCTCTTGAAAGATAGAAATGAATTGCTGATTTCCTATCCCCTCTAATTTTCTTTCTTTTTCTAACATGGTGTAAAAACATGAGGTTTGGAGGTTTGGGATGTCAGGTTTTCTATGTAGATTGCTTAGAGACAGGCCTTGGGGTAGTTCTAAGCTTTGAGATAATCGTACCAGGTATACTGAGTACCAGAGTTGCATAGCATATGGAATAGTTGCTGTGTTTTATTAATTATCATAGATTTTTATGATGATATGTATATTAAGAGAGTAATAGACTAGAAAAAAACGTTCTTCAGTGAAGAAGGTTACACTTTTTTTTTTTGTGATTGTTGAACATGGATTACCTCTTGCATAACAGTCTAATCTAGTTGTTGACAAAGGCAAAACTCTTATAAACTGAGTTTCTGTTTAATTTGAAGGAAAACTTTGCACGTGTAAAAATCTGCCCCTGTAGCTTTTCAGAAATATTCTCTGTTTCTAGTGAGGTTTAGGGTGTATTTTCCCCATTTAAGATTCCCTCTTGGAGTTTGAATTAAGTTAATTGTTCTAAGAGGCCAAGTTATTTCATTCCCTTTCATCTTTTCTGTACCATAGTGCTGTTATCTCAGCTGAAGTAAGAGCAGCACTTGTTCCCTTGTGTGTCTTGCAGAGGACATAGTCTTATGCAACGCTGCTGTTACGCAGCAGTTCTGTAAGGCTTTTCCTGTGTGCCTGGGATCACATTCCTTGTGCTGTGGCATCATCCCCCGTATTGCTCTAAGGCTTTACTTCTGTGTTTTTTCTATTCCTTTTTGTGTGTGTGTAGTGATAGAGAGGTTGTACTCAGTGGCAGGACCAGATTGCTTCTGGCTCCCTGGGGAAGGGAAATCAATGTTTGTGCTCTGTGGGGATGAAACTTGAAGACGTGTCCATACCTACAAATTGACACCCTGTTGTTGAAGAAGGGGGTCAGAGAGATGTGTGTCAAAATTAAAATACTGTAGTATCATGTCTCTCTATGACATGAGTGGACATACTGAATTTAAATAGTCAGTGTCTTCTGAGTGGTGGTCTGTCAGGACCGTCACTCACTCGTCTTTCCTGTTTGCATCTTCACATCTGAACTTGGAGCCAGTCAGCTGTTTATTATACTGTCTTCCTTTGTTACAAGCAGCCTTTGCTGTGCATGTTTCCTGGGGTCTCAGAAGTATTTAGCAGTTTTCATGTGCCCTTGATTCATTTAGTGACAGAAGATAACACTGGGCTCTTTAGTCTTCATTACTGCAAGTACAACATGTAAGTACTACAGATGAGTTGAAAATACAAGGATAACTTGCTACATTCATCCAGAAGTATCCTGTAAAATTTTGAGTGTTCTTTTAAAAAGCTGCATAAATGCCTAAAGGCTTTTTAACTACCATTGTAAAAAGAATAGTGAAAGTGTGAAAAGGAAGACATAACTGGATAATGTAACTGATTGTTCTGCCTGCTCATTTTAAAGTTTTTTCAGGCAAGTTAGAAACTTCAGCTGTATAGTATGATGAAACTATTACTCTTGCTACCATTACTGTTATTGCTTCCAGTTTAGCGTTTATACATGTGCAGTATTCATCAATAAAACATTTGCCTTCATATTTGTCAAGTCGCTTAAGCATTTTGCATTTTATTTTGCTCATCCAAATATTTTATGCATTCTGCGAATTTTTTCTTTTGCTCATGCTTTAGGAGTGAATATCTGAAATTTGTTTTATTTATTTGTTTTTAAGATGGAGGAAAAGAAGTACTCTCAATGCATCAGATTCTTCTCTACTTGTTACGATGCAATAAAGCTCTGGTGCCTGAAGAGGAGATTGCCAACATGCTTCAGTGGGAAGAACTAGAATGGCAGAAATATGCAGAAGAATGCAAAGGGATGATCGTTACCAGCCCTGGCATGGTAGAGCAAATAATTCTGATTTATGAACAACCCAATGACACATACATGTGTTGTATCAGAGAGTCTGCTACAGGCTAAATTGGAAAGGTAAAGGATAATCAGTGAGAGTTGCAGATTCCTGTGGGAACAGTTCATTGACTTGTTCCAACTCTTGGAAGAATTGCACCCTCTGCTGCTCTGTTGAAGGGCAGATTTCCAGATTAGCGCTGTTTCAATGTGTGCATTAAAAGGGATGACTATATTTAATGTATGTGAAACTGTAGTTTGCTCCTCTCGTTTCTTATTTTGTCAGACAGTCTTTATGTGCACAATCTTATTCTCTTTTCCCTGACACAGGACCAGAGACTTGGTAACTATTTGCTATTTTCTTTCATCTTCCTCTTTTGACCCTCTAACTCTGTTTGAAGTGCTCTATTCAGCTTCTGCCCTGAATATGGAAAAGGTGTTTTCTGCCTATGTGTTTTTTTCCACATTGTCCCTGTGTTGCTCTCACTCACACTGAGGAATTTTGTGTACATTAATGAATGCATACATTACTTTTCAGTGCCAAGCTTGAAACCCCTATGGCCTTATTATTTTTGGAACAATTAGTATTCTCTGAACACAGCTCCTTTCAACTCCAGTGTTTGTGGGAATTTAGCCCATTTTTCTGACTATCACACTTAAGAAATGTGGGTCATGAGAATAGATGATGTCCACTCGAAGCTGCAGGGTACTCTTTGTGTGGTTTGGTCAGTATTGCAAAGTGGTATCTCAGCAGTAGAGGGATGTTTTGGACCTGATATTTTAGACTGCCATGCAGCTTTCTCAGTTGTAATGCCTTTTTCTCTGACTTCATTTGCCTCCTTTGCTCATAGCTCAACTTCTTATCTTCTTCAGAAAAAGTATGACTTGGTATCATGCCTTAGGGGAAATTTAGTTTGCTAACTGAAAAACCTGTCCTCAAACTGCAGCCAAGGTGACTTCCTAAATGTATTTTTCAAGTTCATATTTTTAAGTATGGCAGCAGTACATTTAGTAAACTACTTTATAAGCTAGTCATAACTTGGGCAGGATAATTTTTTTTTTCCCCTTGATTTAATTCGGAGTGTTTTAATTCTGGCTAAATTTTTCTACACCAAAAGGTCTAGAAAGGTCTAGATCACATGTAGGAACATGAAATTCAGAATACATGTGAAAATACGTTTCTCTCTCTGGAAAATTCTACCTGAGCTAGTTAAAACTGAGTGCTAAATCAGAATCTCATAACAGAAATTGTTAGACAACCTTAGCTGTTTAACTTCACGTTGCCTGTGGTTTCTGTGATAAAAGGTATATGCTAGTGCTGAAGCTGTCAGCATCTGAATGGTATGTACTGACATAACTTCAGTGGTTTTGATGAAGATGCGCTCATTTTAGTTAGCTGAAAACTTAGGTTTTTGTTTAGTACGAAGGCATGTATACATGCTCCTTCCTTCTGTCACTGAACTGTAAATGTCTGTATGCACAAGGCAGTGCAGTTTCAGAGTGTAGTGTTAATTTTGAGATTTTGTGTGATTTTTACTGACAAACTTTGCATTATACAAGACAATGTTTTTAGAGATGTGTGTGGACATCAAAATATGTAAGCGTAAAAGAAATCTGCAGCACATTGAAACGTTGTCATGTTATAATGCCATTGTTAGAACACATTTTTCTCCTGAGAAGATTGCAATGACTTTCTTCTTAGTTTGTGGATTTTTTCGGTTCACTGCAGCATATTCTATTGAGTATGAAAGTAAGAAAAAAATAGAGTATGAAAGTATTTTCTATGCATTTTACAACGTTGAAGATAAAACAGCTCTGTTATAGAGACAATGCTAAACTGTTTTACAAAATGACAGCTCTTCAGTTCCATTTTATCCACTTGACACAACAAAGTAAAACCACTAGATTTTATTTTGCTGCTTTCCTCTACAACATCACTTGAGAAATAATAATTCCTCTTGTAAGCAGATCAAGGTGTGTATATGTATATAATTTTTTTTAACAGTGAGGTGTATATATGTGTGATGGAGAAGGGAAAAAATTTTGCCAGATGTATAAATCCCATTTACTTAAACAACTAACAGTAGCATTATTTAAAACCATTTAATTTGTTCGTGGTGTTTCATTAGTTCAGTGAAACTTTGTGTTGGAATAGATTTAAAGGTACACAAATTTTAATCCTCTAATACTTCACTCTTTCTGAAATATTCCTGCTTTTCTCACTAGTACAAATACATATGTATTTTAACATACTTTTGTACTACACCTGCATGTGATCTCATCATATCTTCTAATATAAGCAAAGCCTTGATTGATGAGGTTTGGAGTAGGAAACAAAGATAATGGGCCTCTGTTCTGTCAGAATTTTTTTGTTTTCTATGAGATTTTAAAAGCAAGTTTGTGCTTATTAGTCGGTCTCTCACAGCACTTCTTTTAAAAGAACACAGGGATAAAAATCTAGAAGAATAACATCTGATTTGCTTGCATCCTGTCTACTGGTGTGCAATTTACAGTTTATATTTCTGTGTGGTACTCTTTGTTCATTTAACCTCCAGAAACGGCACCTGAGAGGAAGCGAGTGTTCATCGTGCTGGAGGAAAAAAAGCACCGCCTAGCTACTCCCCTCGCATAACTGTCAGTGAAGGGGCAATTGTGATGAACTCTGAAATAAGGAGTTCTTTTGTTCTGGTTGTTAGCAGGCATCTGTGAACAGCTGAGTAACTGAGTGACAAAACTCAAAGGCAGTGACATATAAATAAAGAGAGAGTCTGGTTTTGAGAGATCCCGAGACCCCATGTTTCACACAGACCCTGCTGTAGGTGTGGTGAAAGCTCTTCTCCCTCTCACGCTTTTGAAGATGAGATTGCTTCTATTTAAGTGCCTAAATGTGAAATATTTGAATAGGAAAATACTATCCATATTTTTTAAAAAAAAATTTATTATAATTGATGTATTGGATGTGATTATTATTTCGTATTCTGTTAATCGTATTTTGCCACCTTGGTTCTCAGAGTTGTTGTGTAACAAGGCTGCTTTTTTGAGGGGGGGCGGTGGTGGGAGAAGTTTATCACCTTTAACGTTAAGAGAGGGGGAGAACCAACAAATAACTTCTGTGAAGTTAAAAACTTCAAATTGGCTTTGTGGAAACCGTGCAAAAACAGATAAACTTAAATTTCAGGACTTTAAGCTCTGGTTTAGAGAACAATGTTCTGCCTGCTACAAATCCTTCCCATGTTTTTCATTAGAATTTGTTGTTCTGATCTCTTTTTATTGGAAGTGCTGTGGGGAAAACCTTTTCTTTTTTCTTTTTTTCTTTTTTCTTTTTTCTTTTTTTTTTTTTTTTTTTTAAAGCTGACAGCATGAGCTAACTTAAATTGGTTTATTTTTCTCTTCTTTTGGCTGAGGAGATGTAACTTTATGTTAAGTCATCATGTCCAAAGGGTAGCTGATAAGCTTTCTCTGAATGTCAAAGTTTTAAGTGTTTGTTTTTCTAGCATAGATTGGAAATGTGGACAACCTGATGAGGCTTACCTTTATTTGTAGAAGTGGCTTTGCTTATCCATGCAGAGAATGATTCCTGTGAACAGTTCTACCAAGGTGGTTTGAAGGGTGATAGCTTTGCTCCTGATGTAGTTTTTATTGTTTGTGAAGAGAATGGTGGGAGCTATTCCTTTAATTCTGAAACTCATCCTTGAGAAACTCACAATGCTAAATCAGAAGGTTTGAGATGCGGATAGCTAGAAGTAATGCCCTTTTTCTGAAACCTTAGACAAGCAGAAAATACTGTCTTCATCCAGCTGCTTGTAAAGTGGGGAGTAAGCAGGCACATAACAAAGCAGCTTGCCAGGTAATGGAGAAAATATTTACCTGAAGACAAACTGTGCACCTTCAGCTGAGTTATTAAATATGTTAGATAAGTGACCGAGAGCTCTGTAAGTAGCATGTCTTCTACAGTGATGTGCAGTTACTCATTTTCTGCATTTTTAGAGGTGAAGCAAAAGTTACCTCCTACACTATAAAAAGAACTTCTGTTTTGAAGTATAAAAAGGACAAAAGTCTCCTCATTATACAAGACTGTATTCCTCATTGTACACATCGGACTAGGAGCCTTTTCGAAGAGTAGCATGACAGATTTTTTAATGCTGTTTAGTCCGTGTGATTGAATGGATCTAATAATGGCTTCACTTGCTTTGGGAAATCAGGAACAGAAGTAAAATTAGAGAGGTAACCTGATCTTAGCGAACTACTCAGGCATGTGGGAGCTTGGATGCCACTATGCTAATCCTGGTTATATTTCCAGTATGATGTTCAACGAAAGAAAGTTGCTTTAAGTTCTCTGAAATAATCAAACTGTACATTTCCTAACATATAAAATGAAAATAAAAAGACTTCCTTTTTTTTTCTGGGAGAGCTAAGTTGCTTAACTTTGTCTCAGTCATTGTCATTGCCAAATATTTATTATAATATTAATGATTAGTTTTATGTGTGTTTTAATAAGCTTGGAATATTGCTGCTTCATGGTTCCTGGATACTGCGGGCTAGAGGCAATAAATTTTCCATGGAGCTGTTGTCAATTAGGTATATTTTGTTTTTTCTCTTAGAAACCCAGCTCAGTTCGTATTGATCAACTGGACCGCGAACAGTTCAATCCTGATGTAATTACTTTCCCCATTATTGTCCACTTTGGGATACGACCTGCTCAACTCAGTTATGCTGGAGATCCTCAGTAAGATGCTTTTCCTTCCACCTTTCATTCAGAAACTCATTACTGTTGTCATTTGTGGCTAAGATGGTTCTTGTTTATACACTTAATTGAGTCCAATGTAAAGCTTTGTGCTTATGACATTGGATACAAGCTCTTGTAGATTAGAGAATATAAGGTGTAACTTCTTTTTTTCTGGCATAATTCAGGGTCTGCTGAAGTAAATGTGCATGCATGTGCAGTATGAAATTTCTCAACCTGAAAACAGGTCTTCTAGGTCAGACCAAAGGTTCCTCAAGCTCCATCTGATTTCTCTGAGAGGCCTCTTGCAGGTTTTTAGAGAGAAAATAGTGTAACAGGAAGGCAGATGGGGAGAAATACTTACTTTGTCTTCCAAAGGTCTGTAGCATATGGGCTTCTGAGCTAGAAGATGTATTTAGATAATTTTGTTTAACAGCCCTGAATGGACCTTTCTTCTCTAAATTTCTCAAATCACTGTTTGAATCTTTTTATCATACTGACAGGGAGAAGATTCCAGGAAATCACTTCCCCAGTACTGTTGTGCATCATATGAAAAAGGGCTGACACTTGTTTCAGAGCTGCTACTTGATCGGTTAATTAGATGCTCTTTCAGGTCTTACATCTAATAATGAAGAATATAGCCATTCTCTGTTTGCTTCCTTAATGACATTTGTGTTTCTTGCATCCTGCCATGTCCTACTTAATTATCTCTTTCTATGCCTTGATTCGTCAAGTCTGCGTCCTATTTCTTAGCTTGGAAGCTGTTGCGTCCATGCTACTTTTCTCTGTACCTTTTATATCCTTGTAAAGATTGGGAGGAATGTAGTGAATGAGTGGAGAGGGAATCAGAACTTCAAACAGAGCAAGAAATACTGTTTCACTGTGGATTCATGTAGTAGCATAAAACTCATTGCTGGATTTTGTTCACAATTCTTTTCTTAATTTCTGACAATTTCAGGGAACTCTTCCCATGATTTGGAGATCTGTTTTCTGAATGATGACAGACAGCGTACAGTCCATCTCTTGTGCATGTATAGTTAAGGTTGTCTTTTTCCTCATGCATTTTCCTCCAGTGTCTTTCAGGGATGTTGCATTTCACCTGCAGTTTTGAGGCCAAATTACTCATATGTGCATGTATGACAGACATATTCTTCAACAACCTCTAGCTGAGAATTTTAGTTTTAATATGGTGGGAAGTGGGAATAGTGAGTGCATTTCCAGATAAAAATATATTTTGTTTTGGCTTTGAGCATGAGCTTTAATCCTCCTTATATTTTAGATTTCTTACCCATAGAAAGAAAATAATTAGACAAAACAGTATAAGAATCACCTCTATTTTGATGATGAATTTCTTAATATTTATGAAGTTCTAGTACCTTGCATTGAAAACACTACCAAGATACAAAAATTATTCTTCCCACACTTGCTAACGTCCTGTTGTAGTTTTAAACCCAACTAGGGGCAGACACCCCAGAGCCACTTGCTCAACCTCCCCCCTCCTGGGGATTGGGGCGAGAATTCAAGGGGTAAAAGGAAAAGAGACTCGTGGGTGGACATAATAATTTAATAACAAAACTACAATAGTATTGGGCATCATAATAATGATGATAATAATTATGATAGTAATATATAAAATTATAAAAATGAGTGATACACAGTGATACTGGTCATCACCTGATGACCAAGGCTCAACCCGTTCCTGGCTAACAATCCCAAAACAGGGAGAGTCCCAAAACCGCAGTCCCAGAATGGAGACAAGAGCCTGAGTGAGAGTCCGAGATGACTCTCAGAGTGGTGACCCAGACAAAGAGAAAGTACTTCTGGACAGAGCCTCATCTATATACTGTACATGACGTGCATGATATGGAATATGTCATGGGCCAGTTTGGGTCTTAATCCTAAACCTAAGGTCGAATCCTAGGCTAGTAATTGGGGCTGTGCTCCCTCACAGCTCTTCCTGCACCTGCAGACACTGGCACAGCAGAGAAGCTGAAAAGTCCCTGACTGTCCTGGCAGCAACTGTGAACATCAGTGTGTTGTCAGCCTTTTCCTCAGCACAAATCGAAAACACAGCCACTTACTAGGTGCTATGAAGAAAGTGAACTCTGCCCCAGCTGAAACCAGGACAATTTCTTTAAAATTTCCATGGCTTTTGGGGGTTTTTTGCACAGAGCTGATAAAGAATTTAGGCATGCTTGTTTTTATGAATGTAGCAAACAAGTTTTTTGTGAAAGAGCTCTGTGGTGCCATCACAAATCTCAGCCTTAACTCTGGTGTATGTGTGAAATAGGAACATCCAGAAAAGATTTTCCTGTAGCGTGTCTTTTCTTTATGAGGTTCTAATACAGAATTTTTGTTATTGTCATCTGTTTATTAATTCTCCAACTTAACTGCAATATCAGAGCTTGTTCCACCAATATTAATGCTAGTAGTAAAATGCATATTGTAGATCATAGTTTCAGGTTATTGTTGTTGGGTTGAAGCTTCCTCATGGCATTTGTTTGTTTCCTGGTTCGTTGATTTGTTCATTAACTCATTTTTCTTCTTTGGATGGGGAATTGTCAGAAACAGATGTGCTATTCTGCAGATTGCGGAAATGTGAAAATAGAGCATAAGAAAAGTCTATGTATTGACCATTTCAGACGTGTTTATAGACTCAAAAAATATCAGCATCTCTAGAGGCAAAGAGTATATGTTCAGGAATGTTGCAGAGAAATAGCTATGGAAAAAATGCCAATAAGAAAAGATCTGTTTGTGTGTCTGTGAATGTGGGATGTTGGGAAGATCATGAAATAGTAAAAGACCTGCTGCTTCATTTACTGCTTTGCCACCAATATGGTAACTTCCCGCTAAAACCACTGCTCTAAGTTGGTGCTGAGGAGGATCTTCTTTTAAAATGTAAATATAAAAGAAAATAAATTACTGGGGTAAACTTCTTCCCTCTGTCCTCTAATTCCCTGCTTCCTATTGAAAGTCTGGTTTTATGGGTTTTCTTGAAAAAACTCTACAAGAGGTGATACTGTTTTGAAAATAGCATTGTTTCCTAAGGACATAAGGTCCATGTCATGATTCTGTTGGTTGCTCCTCCCATAGTAACTTTCGAACCTGTAGGTCAATCGCAGCTGAATATAATTGTGGGATGTTGTCTACAAATGGAGTAAATCCTTACAAGTTTTGTGAAAATCCCTGGTAGATCGCAGAGGGACTCCCACCAAGGAAAGGGTTTTGTTACTGAAGTTTATGTGTGATTGGACACCACCTAAATGTGAAAAGGCTAGATGGTTGGAGAAAACTTGAAACCTTAAGTATATGCTAACTACACAGAAAACTTGACTTGCTCTTTCCATTCAGCACAAACCCATAGGGAATTGAACTTCTGCTTCACTGTTCACAGAATGACTTCGTGTTGCACATGACTTGTAGAGCTCTTCTTCATGTGCTTCACTGAGATGTTTCAGCCAGTGTGAAGACAGACACTTCTTGGGAAAGGTTACTGCTGTTTTTCAGTGACTGATAGGTTAACCCTGTGGAGAAGAGGGAGTTTTCACCCGCCTGAATTGAGATGTCATGCTGCGAGCAAGTCTTTTCAGCATGTGCAGGTGGCCCTGAGAGGAGGGGTGGGTATCTGGGAGACCTGGGTTCTGCCCTGAGCTTTGGTGTTCACACTGCACACTAATGCCTCCTCTGTGCCGTTGTGTCCACCTCGCTGGAACAACTGCAGAGACGCTGTCAGTTCTCTTAGAAAATGCTTTGAGATTTTTTTCTGGAGCAAAACGATGCTCATAGACAATCTGTGTGTATATGGGTGCATTGTTAGCAGCTGGTGTGTTCATAAGGACAAACGGTGAGAGGCTTGCTGTATCGCCCAAAGTAATTGTTTTCTGGTTTTGTCCTTTAGATACCAAAAGCTGTGGAAGAGTTATGTGAAGCTGCGTCACCTGCTGGCTAATAGTCCCAAAGTCAAACAGGCTGATAAACAGAAATTATCACAAAGAGAGGTATGCTGGGCTTTCCGATAACTGATAATTGAACATGGTAATTCAGGATGGAATAAAGCCATATGACTACTCTGTTTATGGAAACAATAGAAATCCTTCACAAAAGATTTTCTTTTCAGGCTGTTAACACTGATTTTATTTTTATCTTTGCTTGTTAGTGAATGGTTTTCTTTCATTTTTTCAGCTGTCAAACTACTGTAAGTTTTTCCCAATTGTAGAAATGATCATTATAGACCCATAAGTTCTTTATAGCCATTGCCATTAATGTTTGCAAGAATTAGAATAGAGAATGACTTTTTGTTTCAGAGTGCACTTTTAACTGGCTCATAATTTTAAACATTTCTCTTCTGAGATAAAAACTACCACACTTGTGTGTGGTTTTAAACCATAATTTATTAGGCAGCCTTAGTGACATTCCTTAAGATCTTTGAGTCAAAATCATCTGGTTATTTTCAATGATCTTTAATGACAAATCAGGTATTTGTTGAATTTTTGTCTTTTCTCTGTTAATTTCCACCCCCCCCCCAAAGTGATGAGCAATAAGCATTTCCTAAGTGCAGATGCTCAACCAATTGGGAATTAAAATCAGAAACTAAAGTCACCTAAATATAGACTAAAGCAGCCTGCTCTCAGGTATCTGTTTTTTTAACATTTTGGACTGAAGCTTTTAATTTGTCTAGTGCATGTCTACCAGGCACTCTTAATTGGACAACTTACGTAAAGAATACATAGAGGAGAAATTCACTTCTTTGATAGTGGATGGAATTTAATTAAGTGGTGGTGCATTTTTATTTATTGTTTAGAAACACTGATATTTCGTTGAATCATACAGTAATCCTGAATTGGAAAGGACATATGAGGATCATTGAGTCCAGTTCCTGAGTCTTCCCCGGTTTGCTAATTGTTTAGCTTTGGTTGCAGTAAATGTTTGATACATTTGACGTTGCACCTGATTTTTATTATTACTGCAAAGAATAGTATGCTGTTGCATGAGCAAGAGTCTTAGTTAACATTTTATTTATGCTGATATTAAATAAGCCCTTAGCTTCCTTACTTATAAATGGTAATAAACAAAAACAGCGTTTTGACTTAACTGTGCCACAGTTCTAAGGAAAAAAAAATTGTCCCTGTTGGAGATTATGTTGTTTGCCACAGCTTTCTACACTCAGGGCAAGTAGAAAGGAAGACCATTGTTTTATGGGCATCTTTTCATTAGGGGCTAATGGATGAGTTATTTGTAAAATTGTAGTGGGTTGGATGTAGGGAGGTGATTATGTTTTGCTTCAAAAGATAAAATGCTCCTTGGGTATTTATCACCTACTCTGTGGTATGCTGATTTTTGTTTCCAGACCATATTGTCTGGGAGGATATGTTTATCAAGTAGTTTGCCATCGGAGAGGCATACAGGGCTGAACTGGAAGTTTTATGTGAGGATAACCTATGCATTTTGCCAGTGGAGATGTCAGTAACTTATAAGGAGCTGGTACGTGGGCTTTTAGAGATTATGAATCATGTTATGAGTAACGCTGGAGTGCTCCTGAGCCAGTCAGCCTGAAAGTACAGCTATGTCTAGCATACACTGTAGCACCTGTCTCAAAAAAGACCCAATGACACAGCCTCCAAATGCAAATTTTAGACAATGCACAAGGAATGCAGTGCTGTGAGCATCTCTGTTCCCCCTACCATTGGTCATTCACTACTACAAGATTGTATGATGTTATTATTTGTGACAAGGTTGTGCCTGGGGGCTTTATTCCTTTAACCTAACTTTGAGGGTTTATAGTAGGTGCATAAATTGGGACCTGAAGGCTCGCTTTGAAGTCAATGGAGAGAGAAATGTATTTTTTAAAGCCATTTATCCCCATTCATTGAATATAAAAGGAGCCAGGGCTAACTAGCCTTCTACCCTAGACACCTCAGTATTGAGGTGTCTGAGGTTTGATGAATGTGTGTCTGGATAGATGCACCTCTATGACTCTCTGAAGAATGGAAGACACAGCCTGTTCCTGCCCAGATATGCTCACAGGCTTCAGACTGGAAGCTTGGAAGACACAGCTTTGAGCAAGTGCCCTGTAGTGAAAAGAAGAAGGAGAGGGAGGATGGGTTGCAGCTTTGAAAAGTTTCATGTTCTGAAGAAGGAAGAGCACCTATGCTCTTTACTGTTGGTGCATGCTGTGTGGGGAGCTTGCATACCCTGGAGGCTTTGTAGTATTGGAACGAGGAGGTCCTGTTGCAGGGATGATTTGTTTTATCTGGTTTTCTTTCATTCTATTTTTATAGAAAATATTTTCTTTCCATGATTCTGTCAGAATCTTTCAATGATTCTGTCCCTTTCATGGTTTCTAGAGACAAACTGTTTATGTTAAACACCTATCAGCCAGTGGTCAAGGCAAAATAGATTATTTTTTTAAAATTTTTTTTTAATTGAAATAATATCAGTAGATTTCATCACATTAGGCTCCAGGACTAGTGAATGCTGACCCCTTCCCCAGACTGGGAGTACTGGCAATGTTGAACAGGAACTATTACGGGATAGCGAGATCACAAAACAAAGCCTTTCTTTTGCTTAGTCTGTTTTACTCCTACTGAATGCTTCAAACCAGGTGTACTCATGGTAACAAACTTGAATGAAGAGGTTGTTTTCAGCACCGGGGTAAAGAAGATGCTTACATTATAAGGATCTTAACTTGCTTAGTTTTGTATCATCTTGGATGTATGAGTTGGACTGGTTTGTCATTTACAGTAAAAAAAATGTAGTCGCCTCTGTTGTCTTGGTCTGCCAAAATCCTCTGTCTGCACCGTACTCCAGCAGGACCACCGCAGTCTGCAGCTGACAGTTACAAGATATGGATTAGTCAAAAGCGAACCTTAAATGGCTATTGTGAACACATTGATGTGTGCATTGATACTGCTTTGTTGTAGAAAGTTTTTCACAGGAGCTCTGCTTTCTGTCTAGGAAGCACTGCAGAAAATTCGTCAGAAGAACACAATGAGACGTGAAGTGACTGTCGAGTTGAGTAGCCAGGGATTCTGGAAAACAGGGATACGCTCTGATGTCTGCCAGGTGACTAAACCACAGAAATGTCTGATGTATTTTCTTTCTTGATAGCTGCCATTTACCTCTTGCAAGGGTTTGCTGTGATACTAGGCTGAAGAACCAAATTGAAATTAATACCTTTGCCTCAGTAAAGGAAATCTGTTGATTTAGGGAATGATTCTAGTGTCCTGCCCAGCCCCTCCCCACACACAAAAAAAATATTTTAAAATTTTAGTTTTCTTGACGATGGTTGGTTAGCACAAGGGAGAAGGGATAGAAATGGCCAGCTTGAAGCTGGAGGTTAGCCAAATGTTGAGTTTAGTGTGGAACTCCAAAGGCTTCTTTATCCATCAGTTGTGTTGGTTTTAGATCTTTTTATTATAATATATTTTTCTATTTAGATATTTTTTTAAAACAATTTTACAATGAAGCATGAAGCAATATCTTTTTACTTCAAGGAAAAGAAAGAAAGAAAGAAAGAAAGAAAAAAAAAACGCCACAATGAAATAAATATACTTGCATATATATTTGCATCATTTTTTAGCTATTGTTTTGGAGATGTTGTTTAAGGATTAAATGTTTACAATTTAATATTAACTTAACAGTATGAAGTATAAACTTTCGGGGTTGCTAGGCAAAGGTATGGGTAGAAATCCCATTGTTATCTTAGAAGTCTGGCAAGACCAAAGGGGAAATTCTAACGGGAGAGAAATGCTAATAACTAAAATTGCTTTTCTGTCTGAAAGATTTCTTGTGATTCTGCTGTTGCTTCTCAAGTTGAAGAAAGAGAATAGTGGAACAGTATCTTCTCAAGTAGATGAGGAAAATTACAACCCTCTTCTAATTTTTTGTTGTGAACTTGTATCTATTTTTACAGGTTAAGTAAACAGTGTAAATTTCTACTATAGGATCTTTGAAACAGTTCTGTGTTATTCATAATATCTTCTGTGATTCATCTCTTAATGTCTTCTTGGATATTCATGTTTCCTTTTGTTGTTGAAGGACAGCAAAACGCCAAAGAATGATGAAAGTAAAGCCATTTCACATTTTTGTGCCCATCTGCAGCTGTAACATCTAAATCAGCCAGTTCTGGTATGAAGGTCCTTTGATTTAGTTTCTTTGAGAGACCAAGAGTAGGCAAACTGTATGTCTGTAAAACAAAAGATTGCTGCTGTTACTACATTCTTTTTTCCCAGATTAAACAAGAGTAAAAATGCACATAAATCAACTCTGCAGGCAGAGCTGAAGTGCAGTGATTTAAAATTAATGCTTTTAAAAGCATTGCTGTTTAGAAGATTGAAACTCTCTTAAGTCACTCTGATAGCTTATAGTTGCTCAAAGTTGCATGTAGCAGTAATGACACTGGTCTTTGCAATCTCTGAAATGAAGTGCTTGGAGGGGGAGGAAAAAGGGTGAGTGAAATGTTCCAAAAAAGTAAAGTGGCTGTGTTCTGCCCGGCTCACTTGAAGTTATCCAGTAGATGAAGGGAATTACTTGGCCACTACACTGGGTAGCACTTACACAGTCTGGCAGGATGGGGCCATGCTGAGAAGATATCACCCCTGTTACATGCACACACACATGCACATTGTTGCTTGCATTGTTACTGCTGTGCCCTCAACAGCTGTGTTAAGTGCTCAGGGTGAGGAGAGAAATTATACATTTCAAAATATTTCATCTCACCTGGTTCTTACTGGCTTCAAGTCAGGAGCATCTGCCAGCCTGGGAGATGGTGGCAGTAGCTGGGGGCACATGAGAGAGTCCCTGCTGTGCCATGCCAGCTGCAGTGAGAAAAGAGCATGCAGCATAGTTAAAATCAAATATATTTAAAAACAAAAAAATAAGTTACTTGTATTTTTATAACCAGATGCAAGTAGTAAGGTTATAGGATAACTCCTGTGGCCATATGGTTTCAGCAGACTTTTATTTAATCAGTAGCCATTCTTTAGCCTAATAAAATTTTAAAGCATATATTTTATTTTCTTATAAAGAGAGAAATACATAAAACATCATAAACGTCAAATAGCTGTGATCCAACTTGATGCACATTAGCTAAATCTGTCGAGTATTTAGTGCCATGAAAGCAACACTGTCAGTGTAACTGCAAGAATAAAATTAAAGGCCTTCTGTGTGCTCCCAGAGAGAAGTCAATTCTTCATTCACTGCACCACAGCTGATAAAAATCTATAACTTTATATTTCGGTCCTCAAACTTAGGGCCATGTGTATTGGTACAAAGAATATTAAACCTTTCTTGAGGAACTCTTTCTACCTAGTGCAGTGGAACATATAGGCAGGGAAGCAGAGCTGTCCATGAAACAACTTTTGGGGTTTTTTTTTTTCCTTGCTTTTTGTGGTAGGTTTTTTTGTTTCTGTTTTTGTAATGAATTCCTTCTATGAAGGAAGATATAGGAAGCACACCTGTATAGTTTATATGGAGATAAGAGGGGTGTTCCCCTAGCTTGTAAATTACCCTAAGAAAACTCTAAATGAAGTGACATGGCAACAAAATAAAATGTCACTTACTCTTGTTACTCAGTTTGCTTGGAGTGGTTTTGCATTTTTCTGCCATTGAGAGATCCAGAGAGTCTTTTTCTTCTTGTTAACTAGTTACTTCCAACTGGAAGAAAAGGACCTGGGGGTGTTGGTGGACAGCCAGCTGTGTGAATGTGAGGCGGCAGCGAGCCCAGGTGGCCAAGAAGGCCAATAGCATCCTGGCTTGAGTGTGGCCAGCAGGACTAGGGAAGCAGTCGTTCCCCTGTATTCAGCACTGGTGAGGCCACACCTTGAATCCTGTGTTCAGTTTTGGGCCCCTCACCACAAGAAGGACACTGAGGTGCTGGAGCAGGTCCAGAGAAGGGCAACGAAGCTGGTGAAGGGTCTGGAGCACAGGTCTTACGAGGAGCGGCTGAGGGAGCTGGGGTTGTTTAGTCGAGAAAGAGTCTGAGGGAAGACCTTATTACTCTCTTTGTAGAAGACCTGAGGATGGTTGATATCTATACTTGCTGTACTGCTGTATCGATAAACTGTACTACTTGCTTATTTCAACCCAGATCCATCGAAAGTCAATATTAGTGTAGATTTCCTGCTTTACAACACTTAAAGAGGGAGATTTTTGTTGTCACAACTTAGTTAAATTTTTATTGACATTTTCCCAAGGGAAAAACATTATGTGTTTCCTAGATGATCAAACAGCAACCTTTCTCATATTTGAAAAGTATCATTCCTGGCACATGAAGCCAGGAAAGGCCCGGCTACAGCATTTCAAAAAGCCCTTAATTCTTCCTCGGAAGGAGATGAAGCAAGGCACTAATAACTGTGCTTGAAAATCAAGTAGCTACTGTTGTTTGGTGAAATCTGGTCAGAGTTCTTCTTCCCTAATGTTATGAGGCAGAGGGGAAATGGTCTTTCTTCATCTTTGTTACTAATTTGAAACTGCAGGGTGTTAAATGAGAAGGTACGAACATTGTATTCAGTCACAGCTTTTTGAAATTTGATGTTACTGCTGACCAGACATTTTTTACATCATTCAAAATACTGAAGTAGAAGATTGGTTTTATGTGTTTATTTATGTAATCTGGGTGGGTCTGTCTCTCCACTGTAATTACGCAGATGGACAAATCTGATTTAATTTAAGTGCTCTGATAATGAGGGTGGGAAACCATGATTTTTTTTTGTCATTTAAACCAAAACAGTAAAACTTAGTGTTGCGACAAATGGAAAGTGTTTGTATTTATAGCTGAGTACTCTGTACACTGAAATTGAATGCTTTTCCTTATTGGAATTGTTCTTTAGCACGCAATGATGCTTCCTGTCCTCACTCACCATGTCCGCTACCATCAGTGTCTGATGCATTTGGACAAGTTGATAGGCTACACTTTTCGAGATAGGTGCTTGCTGCAGGTAAGATATGAAAACAATAAACTACCTGCTAGTTTGTCTTCCTAATATTATTGAGATTATCCGTAATCCTGCCTGGTATACAGCCTTGAGAAACGCACTGCATTGCCACAGCTTGGACATACTTGCGTACTTGCACTGCAGATCTCTGGAGAGTTTCAGTTATCCCAAGAAACCTCTAAATAGAGACATCTGTTGTGCATGTAGGCGTATGCCTACCTTTGCTCCAGTGGTAGGCCTGGATTTGTTTGTAACATGTAGAAAGACAGAAATATGCTTACTGAAACAACTGTCAGGTACATCACTCATTATTTCCATGTAAGTTCTTTTTTTAGATATTTGCGAAGAGTATGATGTTATTCTGTAGATGAGCATACAAGCCTTGCTTCTTCCTTTTGCAGTCTGTTGTTCCAAAAAATAATAACTTAAGCGTTGCCTTTTTATTTTGCATTTATTTCTAGTGGAAAAGAATTTGCAAACTTCTGTTCAGCTCTTGACTTCTACAAGTACAAGATTAAATTATTGCATTTACAATCAAGGACAGGAACTGGAGAGGAGAATTTCTTATTTGTTTTAAATGCATCCATGTTGCATGACCAGTCACTTACGTAAAAGTATATTTGGAATTGATCAGCTCCGGAGGGCTGACTCTTGGCATGGTGGCCCCTTTCCCCTTATGTTTTTTTTCTGAAGCTACTGAAGGGAAACGGAGACTTCTGTTCAGGATTTCCCCCTGAAATAAGCATCATCTCTCTCCACTGAGAGACTGGGGATGGGAAAGGTGAATTTTCTCTAAGTACAAGACATGCAGTTTCTGCATGTGTATCAAAACTATACTCCCAAACTACTTTAAGCAGAGGCTTATGGAGGAATCTTTTCTCATAGTTTTGCTGATTTCTAGAAATTGATTTCCAGGGCTTGTCCTACTGAAAGTTAGATTAAACATTGAGCATCTTGTAGGATTTGGCTGTTCGCAGGCTGCCTTAGTTATAATATGAAAGCTAAGAATGCAGCGATGGAAATCTTCAAAATGCTGAGACTAAACGCACAAACTGAAAAGCAAATTGCTATCGAAAATGAGAGAAAGCATAAAATCAAGTGTGTCAGCATTAGTCAAATTAATGTTTAGTTATAACAAAAGTACTTTTTAGAGCTTGATCCCTATGCAAATTTATTTAAAACCTACAGCCTTGTTCCAGAAGAGAAAGAGCTTTTCAAAAATGTACATAGCATCAGTAACCTATTTAAGCACAAGTGATATTAGATGTATAATTCTGCACTGATTTTTCTACCTGTTTCATCATGATGTATTCTTTTTAAAGTACAGACTGGGAAAGAGAGATTGCGCTAATTTAAGTATTCAGAGAAGTTGTAATATGTCATCCAGTTCAGATGGAGGAGAAGTTGAGAAAGTGCAGTTATGACAAACTTTTTAGTGAGGAATTGAAAAGGACTTGGAGAAAGTTCTTACTGTTGATTAAATATAATTTTACTCTCTAAAATAAAGAAAATAAACTTCTCTAAGTCTTGTGTTTGGAAAGCCACAGACAATGTTTGAATGAACTACTGGAATGTCTTTGCTCACAGCCTGCAGCACCAGTCCTGCAAGCGTTTCAGAAGTAATTTTCTGCAGCTTGACTTTGCCAATGTATCTCTTGTTTTATATACAAAGTGTGTGTACACATACATTTATGCATGCATAATATTTTTAAGTATGTATGTGTACAGAAAGAGAAAATGCATGAGTTTGCAGGATGGCATCATAAAAGCTAGCTGTAGTTTTTATTACTGCTGCCTTTTTTGTAATGGTGGTGGCAGCAGCAGAGTAAGCTTTTGATAATGCTATATGCTACAAATGTAAAACAGACCAATCCTGCCATTGCTGTTCACTTCCAATTGAAGAGTGGCCCTGTATAGTCATGAGAGAAAGAATTCTTCAGTGAATAACCATGCCAGAGATAATATATTTGTTTGTTCTTGTTTGTTTTTTTGAAGTTTGAAAGTTTTATAGATATTTAAATAACCTAAATCAAATATGTGAATGGTTGAGAATCTCTTTTAGTTGTTCATATTTTTAATATTAATATTTATGCTGCAATGGTAGAGTGAATATATGTTTAAATAAGCAAATATGTTGAAATCAGGTCAGGGAAGCTGGTAAGCAAAACTCTTAGGACAAATCGACAGTTCATGCTTTTTCTGTTCTAAACTAATTTCTCTGTGAAGAAAAAAAACTGTTGAAAGTTAATTAGTTAAAGTGATGATTGGGCATAAATGTTGCTTCGGTCTGACATCTGAAATGCTACATCCTACATTTAAATTGCTGGAACCAGCCTACTAATTGACAATATCATTTTGTAGCCTTTCTTCAAACTGAAAAATAACAATTATTAGCTACCAGTCTGAGATATTTTTTCTTGTTACATTTGCAAAAATACATCTAAGACTTTTTTTTTTCCTGTATGTGCTACATTATAGCTTGCCATGACTCATCCAAGCCATCACTTAAACTTTGGAATGAATCCGGACCATGCTAGAAATTCCTTATCCAACTGTGGGATTAGACAGCCAAAGTATGGAGATAGAAAAGTTCACCATATGCACATGAGAAAAAAAGGTATGCTGTTACACCACTGTCATTTTTCTCTCACCTCACACTTAATCAGTAAGAAAACCTTTTGTCCATTATTTCATTGGCCATTGTTCTTCTGAGAGATCCCTTTGGTGGGGAATTTCAATGGTTAAACACAGGCACCAGTGAGATCTTCTAAAAGACTGGATTTTGCGAATTAGTCAACAAGTAAAGAGCTGAGAAAAAGCAAGGATAATAAATAGGAGCATGTATTTTCTTTGATTTTTGGGAAGTGTTGTTTTCTTAATCTGCTGCTCACTGACGTGAGCAAACTGGATGATATTTTGTAAAAATGTCTTATTAATGTGAAAATGTGGTCTGTCTGCTGCAGAATATTCCTTACCCCTTAAAAGTATATTCATTATTGAAGTAAATTGTTCATTGTTTATGTAATGTTTGGAATGTCTTTTTCATGCGAAGGTGGTATTTTTATCTGGCTCTCTGAAAGCAAAAATACAATAGTATTGTAATGGGACTGTAGTCAGAGAGCATTTGTAAGGATTATACTTGCTGTAAGTAAACCCTGTAAATAACAGTGATCTTGTGTACAGCGATTACAAAGTAACATTTTGAGTAATTATTTTCTAAGCCTATTCAAATTGAACTAGTGGTTGTTTATTTAAAAGTGCATTGTTTATATTTCTAGGCATAAACACCCTGATAAATATTATGTCCCGTTTGGGGCAGGACGATCCAGCTCCTTCCAGGTAATGAAAATAATTATTTGCAAGTAGGGAAGATGTTGCAGAGGGAGGTGTTTGATAGAAACAACCAGCTTACTGTCAGCAGCATCTTTGGCAAATAGTTTAAATGAAAAGTCATTTTGGATTGACTTTTATATTATGAGGTTGTACTGAACCTCCATTAGCAGTGACATAGTAAATGTTTGGTCGTGCTTGCAGAAAACTCCTGAGGAACATTTTAACAGATAATTCTTTTTTTTTTTTTTTTTTTTTTTTATTTTTTGAAAGGGGGGGGAATAAAAACTTACCTTTT